ATGCCGTGTTACTTTTACGCCAGATGTAATGGGACATACACCTTCCAAAAAGTTCAACTTTTGTCTCGTCAGTCCACAGAGTATTTTCCCAAAAGTCTTGGGGATCATCAAGATGTTTTCTGGCAAAACTGAGACGAGCCTTTATGTTCTTTTTGCTCAGCAGTGGTTTTCGTCTTGGAACTCTGCCATGCAGGCCATTTTTGCCCAGTCTCTTTCTTATGGTGGAGTCATGAACACTGACCTTAATTGAGGCAAGTGAGGCCTGCAGTTCTTTGGATGTTGTTCTGGGGTCTTTTGTGACCTCTTGGATGAGTCGTCGCTGCGCTCTTGGGGTAATTTTGGTCGCCGGCCACTCCTGGGAAGGTTCACCACTGTTCCATGTTTTCGCCATTTGTGGATAATGGCTCTCACTGTGGTTCGCTGGAGTCCCAAAGCTTTAGAAATGGCTTTGTAACCTTTTCCAGACTCATAGATCTCAATTACTTTGTTTCTCATTTGTTCCTGAATTTCTTTGGATCGCAGCATGATGTCTAGCTTTTGAGGATCTTTTGGTCTACCTCACTTTGTCAGGCAGGTCCTATTTAAGTGATTTCTTGATTGAGAACAGGTGTGGCAGTAATCAGGCCTGGGTGTGGCTAGAGAAATTAAACTCAGCTTTCCAAAGATGTGATAAACCACAGTTAATTTATGTTTTAACAGGGGGGGGGGCAATCACTTTTTCACACAGGGCCATGTAGGTTTGGATTTTTTTCCCCTTAATAATAAAAACCTTCATTTAAAAACTGCATTTTGTGTTTACTTGTGTTATCTTTGTCTAATATTTAAATTTGTTTGATGATCTGAAACATTTAAGTGTGACAAACATGCAAAAAAATAAGAAATCAGGAAGGGGCAAACACTTTTTATACTTTTTAAACTGTATATATATATATATATGGCCATATTGAGTCAAACAAGATTAGCCTCTCAGTAAATTCCCACAACTGCTCTAAGAAGTCATGGAATAGAGAGATATAAACCAGAGTCCACTGTTAACAAAGCAAGTGCTGCACCTTGAACATGTGCTTCAGCTTGCCCACAAAATATACTGCAGCAAATCCACACATGTACATTAGATCGATCAGAAGGTGAGACCGGGATGAGTAGAGTCTGAAGAGTCTGATGATGGAGCCCACAGAGGAGGTTGCAACCATCTCTGCGGGTCGATGTCTGCACAGTGGGGAAAGGCTGTCTGAGAAGAAAACATGGGCAGCATCGGTACCTGAGGGCAACTCATTGACTCTGTGGATTTCTGGGTAATAATCACCCACAGGAATGCCGGGCATGTCCGTCTGTGGTCGTCGGAGCGTTACCACGTTGCTTTCAAGCTTCCGCCGCTTTCATGTTCCCCTGCGCAACGGAGTAGTTGCCAAATACTTTTGTCCTTCAACCCTTTTGAGCTTCATGCTTGGGCCATATAATCGCCCCACTAGTTGCTCGATGTACAGTCACTTGAGGACAGCCATTATTTCCTCTCTCTCTACCCACCACATGTTCTTCAAAGAGAGCAATTAGAGGTGCCGGATCTGGAGAGAACAGCTCAACTTGAGCACTTCAAGGGGTGGTTGAAAGTCAACAACACAACAACGACCCTCTCTGTCCATTCCCTACTTACTTCTCTTGATTTGAATTACCTCCCAGGTGGAATATGGGGAATTCAACGGAGGAGGAGGCTGTGCTCTACCACTCCGGTCAGCTGTGCCCCGCTTTATTTTCCTTGTATCACATTTCCAGGACTAGCAGGATTTACATGGATTTCCCCCCCCTCTCCCCCTCTCCTCTGTCTGCTTTGAGAGGTGTTTAGTCTGAGGCCGTTTTTCCCAGCCACGACTCCTGCTCTGTCTCTGGCCGGTCATGCATCTGGACTAAGTGCTTCACAGCAAAAATCTCCTGTTTCAGGTGCACGTGTGTTTTGGGTTTAGGGTAACCCACCGCATTTAAATATTGCAATCTCGACAAGTCGCTGGCACTTGCCTTGGCTGCAGTTTCCAATGCCCTTTGTAGTGTTTTAATAAACACACATACATACAGATACTGTACTTTCAAATTTAGATTTCAAAAGTTCATGAAGTTCATCTGTGGTCCATACCTGCCGGTTATACAGGTGGCAACCACAAAAACTACCAACAGCTATCTTTTGTCTTCCAGAAAAAGATGGCTATTACAACCCATGACAGCATCACATGTGGGTTTGAGGGGAGATTAGATTGGAAGATTTGAGAATGAGTAATGAATGAAGCTAGTGTTACTGTGGCACATTTATATTGATTCCCTTTTATTTAATACGCAGATAACAGGTTTTTGTCGTCGTCTGCCTGCATTAGCAAGCTAGCTGTTTATACTCCATCATAGACTGTGTAGTACTCCATGCATGTGGAGCTGCATTCATGTAACATGGGAATAACTGTAACTTCACTTTAAAATTTGTATGTACGGATTTTAACTTGTGCAAATGTGTTTGCTCCTGTGGCGCGTGGACAAACACTAAACAACAACTACATTAAAGTTATCAATATTTCCAGATGCAGTTGTATGTTTGTATACAACAGTAATTGCAAACACAGCTGTCAAACAGGCCTCTTCAGGTACATGCATGATTACACCTGTAATTTAGAGTCTATACATTTTTTTACACTTAACAAAAAAGGACTTTTGTGAGTCATACATTTGAGAGTCTTAAAGCAAAATACTTGTGTTGTACAGCACACATAGCGCTCTACTTGATTGCAGATGTGTATTTATTGGTGGATTAATTGTCATCATATCTTTCCTCTGCTGCTCTGATTTTTTTAAGCATAGTTGCAGCATAGAGGACATTGAAGTCAAGTTATTTGAATGGGGATTCGAAGGCTTTAACAACTACAGCTTCAGCAATTTATAAACTTATTTTAAGGACTTATTACAGTAGTTTTAGACACTCTGTTTATTTTAATCTGACGACTTTGAGGCCAACAATTACATAAAGGAGTCACCTGAAATATAGGAATTCATGTTGGAAAATATATATTTTTTACGACAAGAAAACTATGTTATACTTTGTTCTTGTTACTGGGTTGCATTGAAAAGACCTCACAGTACAATTTCACCCCACACGACCTGAACGCAGCACATTCCACTCAGTTTATACCTGTCATCCCTGTCACGTGCACAACCCTCACCTGTCGCCTTTGACGACCTCCGTCAGGACAAGACTTCTCCCGCGTGCAACCCAACCACGGTCACCGGTTTCTCGCGGCTGGGACGACGCAGTAGGTCCAGCCGTTGATCACGTCCCATCAGTCAAACCGACACACCGGGTAGCGCGTGAGAGGGGTCCCCATGGCGGGGCTGACCCCGCCAGGTAATTTGGTCTTTTTTAAATGGAAAACAAACGGATAATGTCCAGGCAGTAATAACACATCAGACAGCTGTGAGTGTTGCAGAGACAATATTCCGATGGAGGGAAAAACAAGCCTACATCAGGCTGCTCCAGATGTGTCCCGAAGATAAACCTCTGCTCCGCTCCAGCCGCGGGTCTTTGGAAAACTTAAATTTCCAAAACATTTTCACATTCGTCACACACACTCACACGATACCAACTCGTTCAGGCTCGCATGTCGGGGACACGAAAACTACCAAACAAGGTGCAACAATAACCGTGTGGCCTGTATGAAATCCATTTATGAGTATGAACGATTTCCGTGATTTTGATCGCCTCTCTTCCTGCTAAGTTTGCAGATTTTCCTCCTCTGTGTTGCCAGGTTGGAGTCCAGAATAGTCCAGACTGCAGATATCTTTATTTTTGAATATAACTACGTCGCATATACCAACTTGGATATGTCCATTAACATCAGCATATATGATGCACAAAGGCATATAAAAAAAGTGCAATTTAATTTAGCGCAAAAACTGGCTAAAATGACGCAAGCAGAAAAAAACCCCAATAAGTATAACGTTACGTTTATTATACACTTAACCTCGCAGAGCTTCTGGTTCCTACATTCATGTGAGAGCCAAACTGACTTTAATGTCTTTTCTCAGAGTCAGCGAGTTGTCGTGAGGTTTCTACAACTTTACCCCCAAAAACAAAACAAAGTAAGAAACGCTCCTAATCTTCAACCGAGGACGTCAAACTTCCTGACAGAGAAAATATCGCCACCGGAACCCGCTTCTAAGCTTCCAACAAGTGGTGAAAACTGTCCTCCACAGCCGCGTCCATGTCCTCCAAGTGCTTCACTTTGCCGTCGTCCATACGTGTGTAACGATAACATGGGTTTATTCTCAGGGGGACTTCTGGTTATAAACTATCTAAATAAAAGCCGTGCAGTTGGCGGACGCGCGCTGTTGTTTCTGCAGGCGCGCGCACAATGTGGGGGAAGGACTAGCTGTGACGTGATTCTGTGCTGCTTTCAAAGCTGTAAGTAAAATCGTGGTTTCAAATGTGCACTTAAACACAGGTTTTTGCCTCTTAATTGATGCAATAAACAGTGGTGGAGAAAGAAGTCAGATCACTCACTTAAGTAAAAGTACAAATACCACAGAGTAGGAATACTCTGTTGCAAGTAGTAGTCCTGCATTAAACGGGTTTCTTAAGTAAAAATACACATGTGTCAGCATCAAAATATAATACATAAGTACCAAAAGTAATATTCATTATGCAGCACATTTCAGAATAATATATTGGATTATAACTATTGATGCATTAATGTGTACATCATGTTCATTTTGCAGTTGGTAAAGGTAGCGCTAATTTTATATACTGACAGGCTGCTTAATCTATAATATATCATATTTGTTGATTATATTTTGTATTAATCTGAATCTGTAAAGTAACTAGTAGTGATAATAAAGGCCTCTGAAATGTAGTGGAGTATAGGTATAAAGTAGGATTAAAGTCTGTCTCTGGAGAAAAAGCTACAAGTACCTGTGACTGATGCATATAATTTGATAATTATTACTCGTTAATTAATGTAAAAGCAGGATTTTACTGAAGTAGTTGGAGTTCATTGTGAACGATTTAGTATAGGACTGCAACCAATGGTTGTTTTCATTAGGGATTAATCTGCCGACTATTTTTGCCATTAAATCGATTGATTGGTTTGTAAATAATTCAAAAAGTATTGAGCAATGCCGTCACAATTACCCAGAGATGAAAGTGACACCAACGTTTGTTACGTCCAACCAACAGTCCAAACCTCAAAATGATTAGAAATAAACTGAAATCATTCAAAAGAAAAGCAGCAAGTCCTCTGATTTGTGAAACTGTAACCATCTTAATTTGTAAAGTAATAAATAATTCAAGCCGTCAAATAATTGTAGTGGAGTACAATATTTCCCTCTGAATTGTAGTTAGTAGAAGTAGAAATACACCGATGGTAATGTAACCATGCAAGAACTAAACATTTTGATATCCTTGAGCGAAGACATTCGGTCATTAATCTCCAGTGAATTCAAGGATTCAGCTATCTTAACGTCAATAAACACACTAAAGCCACTGCATTAAATCAACACCAGCATTTTATTTTTTTCTCCAAAAGCATGTAAAAAACAAAAAAAAAATGCACAAAATGATTGTGTATGTTGGCGTAGAAAGGGTGGGGGGGCGCTTACATTTCAAAATGTTACACTTCCATACCACAACTAAGCAACAGAGAGAGAGAAGGGAGAATAGAGGAGAACGACTGAAAACAGTTCAAGCGTCCTTTGCTGTAAGGCCACCTCAATCCACAGGTCATGTCTGTACAGAATACATTTTTCAAAGATGCATACACTTAAGACGTCTCGATGACAACAGCATTGAAAAGTAAGTCCACGTCAAGATAAGCACAAAAAATGAAATGACTCACACGTTCGAACATTTACGACATTACGCTGCAATCATTCACCCGAGCCTCTCGGCACCAGCGTCTAGTGTACCTCGTCTGCTCCCGTTTCACTTACAAGTTGCAATTCACAGATTCTGCAGCTGTACCTTGGCGAACTGCTAACGGAGAAGGACAAAGACAGCACTTCTTGATACATTACTCTTGATTTTAAAGCATATTTCTCAGGGATTTAGAGGATGATTTTGAAATTTAAAAAAAAGGAAAAAGAAATATACAATGTACACAGAGTTAGAATGATTTTTTTGTGGATAAAAAGTGGTTAGATAGGAAAACAATGTCTGCTGGTTGAGTAAAGTAATCCTATGTTAAAGAGTGGGGCTCTAAACTAAGCAGGTCTTGTTTTGAAAAGGCATAATCAGGAGATGACTTTGTTAGGATCTGTGCACTCAAAAGGACTTGTTTGATAAGTTCAGCTATTTGTATTCTAAGGCTTCTCTTTTAAAAAAAAAAGTAGCACTTATCCATCTGTTCAAGTGTAGCTTTCTCTTCTGCACAGCGTGCTCAGATTCACCGTAAACTTTTGTGTCATTCAAGTGTCAGTCAAGTGTCAGTGGTATTCAGACATTTACTAAAACGGGATATTTGAATGGCTTTAGACTCATTCTTTGAAGAGAATGAAATATAGATGTGGACATATTGTCTTAGGTGTTGGAATAAAACAAAAGAAAAGTGTCTGGAGTGCAGTATCTGCACTGCGGACCGAGGCAACCTATTCAAAAACTTTGAATAAAAGGCTATGTTGAGTTCAGGGGCGACTCGCTTTTTCTTTCTCTCACACTAAACACTACTGTCACACTTTGTCCAGCAGGGGGTGCTCTGCACCGGGGGTGTTTTGCATGCAGCATGCAGGAGCACAACAGGGGGACCAATACAGTGACAAACCCTCCCTCAGCCAACCTGCTGCAAGTTCAATATTAATAAGAAATAGGTCCAGGTGCTAAGATGCATTTAGCTAATAAGACAGGAGATGAGAACAAGAAGGCATTCATGTAAAGGAAACCTGTCCACGCTTAAGGGATGGGACTGGGGGGGATGGATATTCAAGACACTGTGATTGGATCTGTCTACGTCCTGCCCCCCCCAAAAAAAGACTGTCCAGCTATATGAACACTCAAATACAGCAGGGAAAAAAAATCACCACAAGACGACCAACAACTGACAAAAGCGTGAAATGACGAAGGAACACAGTTGTGTGGTTTCCTGCAAGGCTCGAGCTACGTCCATCACAGAAATGTAATTATCAATTTAACCAACAGCTCCTCTTGAGGCGTTTCATCCGACGGAGTGAGGGGGGGGGGTGTTAACGGACAAGGCCTCAGGTTCCCTGTGTTTATCTCGTCTGGTGATCATGTGTGGTCATATGTGCAAAGACTAGAGTACAGTACGGTGGGGAATGTTCACTAATCACAAACTACAGCTCTACGTACGGATAGTATACAAAACACAATCTGAGGATTTCATTAAAATTTCAACCATCAATAAAAGCCCGGAGGTATCCACTTATGCCGAGACATCAAATCCAAACTCAAAGTGCTTCTAAAAACCTTTAAAAAGTGAGTCGCTATGCATCAAATGAAACGAGTCATTCACAACACAAACAGATCAATACAGTCATAAGATAAGGCTATTAAGACCCAGTCATCCCAACATGCAAGGATACGACTCACAGTGGTCAATAAAACAGGAACACACCGTGGGATGAAGCGGACAATAATTAAACGTAACACAAAAATAAAAACACGAGAGGTGAGCTGTTGCTGATGTGTGCCGTTGTGTTTTTTTTACAGTACTCTGTACCCTGTTTGTTCCTCAAATATACGAAACCTAACAAACTGACAACTGTCTGACAGCAAAGTCACAATACTGAGGACTGTTATTTTGATTTGTGTTTTGCTAGAGTGAGTGAGACGATGTAATGTTATCTCTTAAATCCTGAGTGTATGCTCTACTGACAAACACGGATGCTCTGTAACCCCTCTGATATGTGTGCCTGAGCATACGGTTTACTTATTTAACACAAATAAAAGGGTGCAAATTATTAAAAAGAATCAAAAAGAAAAACTGACTATATTATTATTATTATTACACTCGCCATACCAAAGAAGGCTTTTGGTCACAATCAACTACCAATTCCAAACAGGGAATTGGAAAATAAAATGAAGAAAATACAGATATCAATTAAATTGAACCCAAAATATATCCACAAAAATCATATTTGTTTTGTAAGTGGTATGGATCATGACTGGCCAGTCATTTCCATGCTGTTTGTTTGTGCATGTATCTGTTCTGATGGCGTTTAAATAGCGAGTGAGCGCGTGGGAGATTAAAACAGTGCCTCAGCATATGAGGCGCGTGTTCGTCGTGATGTGTCGGAGGTGTTAAGAGGAGGAAAAGAAAGAGGCATGGCTGGGATGGGATGCAGACGGGATTATGCCGTCTTCGTTATATTCTCTGACTCCTTGGAGGCCCAGAGCGCTTTGTGCTGTTTGCGCCCGAAGCCCTCGTCGTAGTTGCCTTTGCTTTTGAACAGCTGCTGAAAGTGGGGTTTACAGTAAAATTCACCTTGAAGAGCTGCAAAGGTGCCAAGGCTGCAGGTGGGAGAGAGAGAGAGAGAGAGAGAGAGAGAGCGGAATGAAGCAGTTATATACAAACAAAAAAGGAGAAAGTCAAGTACACACAGAGGAAAACAATGCAGATCGTCACCTGAGTTTGGCGTTGCAGTGCTTGCAGCAGAAGCATGATGAATGGAAGACCAAGTTGTTGGCAACCAATCTCTCCATCGGGTAGACCGTTTTGTCACATGATGTACACACTTCCTTTTGGGTCTTAAAGCTGAAGGACTGAGCACATGAACATACAGGTTTGTTACCGAGGGCCATGATCCTCTGAGATGAAAGCTGGTGTTTACAAAACGACACAAAAAAATATGCAGTAAAAGACGTCCTTTGGTCTTTGTTGAGATCTAAAGGACGAGAAAGAAAAGATATATTTACCTTAGATCGCTGGACAGGTTTCTCTTCAGTGGTGTTCCTGGTGTCCTGGATAAGAAAAGAAAAGAACTTTTAAACAATGTGTATGTCACATGTGTATAACGACTCCTGTTGTGCTCTAAATTGGCAACAACAGATATTCGGTGAAATCACAGTCGAGTCCTTTGAGATTACAAGCAACTGACGTCACACGGGTGGAAGAATGCATTCTTCACTGTCCTCTTATTACCTTTACCAGTGTGTTGTATCGTCAAGCCCATCTCTCTTCCCCCCCATCCCCCCACCCTCTTTCTATTTGCTCCATCTGTCTCTTTGCACCCCTGGGAGAGGATCAGGTGCCTTCTGTCTGCTCATGTGAGCCGAGCTGTGGGGCGCTCAGCATGGGGGCGCCCTCAACATAGCGGAACAGCCTCAGAACCCGGCATCCAGTTAGGAAACTTCACAAGGAAATATCACACCGAGTCTCTTACAAATGGTGGGAGATTACAACACGACAGTCTTCCCCTTTCTAACTTTGCAATCCATAAATGTAATGAGGCATTTCTTGCACAATTTTGTAGGTGTACTCTTTAATTATCCGGCTGCCATTTTAACATACGTCACCACATTTCCCTCTGGATTAATTGAAAGACTACCCCCCCCCCCCCCCCCCCCCGAGGTGCTCCGATGGTTGCGGTTGTACCATCTCAAGCCGGAGGAAGTTGCTCAGTAGTAATGACTGTATCTGCCTACTCGAGTGCACAGCAACGAGCGTGGCGGGCCACATCTTTAAGCAGCGCTAACAGGTAGTTCAAGCGGATAATTATCAGACAGAGAGACATTCAGACGGTTACACAGTAACTGCCACGGGGGAAAAAAGCGAGTGTGCGGGGAAGAAGGGCAGCCTCTGTTTAGGCGAGGGGGGAAAAGTCCACTGCAGACTTTGCTAAAGCCCCGTTATGTAAGGCAGTTTGGCTGGAGCTGGAGGAAGTGGTGGAGGTGGAGTGGGGGGGGGGGGTGTCAGAGTTGCAAAGAGAAGGAGATCTTTGGCATCATAAGGGAACTGCTGATTCTCACTTTTTTTCCAGGTCCATTACTCTTTGACTTGCAAAATATCTTGCTTTGTAGACAGAATACACCAAGAGTCCACCACAGTGATGGAAATGACTGGAAATGGTGAATGTGCAGACATCTTCCTCATAAAGAGGTTGAGATAAAGTGTGTTTCACTTCTTTCTTTTTTTACTTGGAAGAAATATAATCACAGTATCTGTAATTAGGATATCTATATGTAACGTCGTACATTTCCCAGACAATGACAGAGAAGCTGGGTGTCTGTTTTGGCTAGTTTAGCTAATTTACTTCTACTTCATAATGAGCAAAAAACTATGTCACCGATTGGTGCTTGTATATTCAGGCCTGTATCCGAAACTTTTGTTTAACTTGCCATGAAAAATGACATTCAAAAGAAGAGTATAGTATGAATACATTTGAGCTCAGTGTACAGATATCCTCTGTTCAGTGTGTATTAAGCACACGACTAATGCTGACAAAGACGTATACAAATCCATACAAAGACTAACAACCAGAGATCAGTTGACAAATGCATATCGTCTCAAGTTATATGGATACTTTCACCCTTTTAATTTCATGCAGCACTTAACAACAGAGCAGGAAAAAGCAGCGAGGCTGTTTTCTGCACTTACGGGAACCGCATGACATGCTTTTGAAGTGATGGGCTCATTAAGTGAGGCCATGCAGCTTCCTGTCGATGCAATCACATCCCAACCGTCTCCTCTCCGTCCCCGACTCCTCTTGAGCTCAGTTTAATGTGCTGAGGCTAAGCTAGCAGGCTTGCTCACACGTTGCCGGTTAGACTGCATGCAAGACCACTTCCTGTTGCAGCAGCAGGAGCCGACATGGTTTTGATCTCCTCAACGTTATCTAACACTTTGAATGTGTAAGGTTCTCACAGAACATTTGTAGGAGAGGTTTGTGTCAGCGGGAGGCTGTAAGAACAGTAAAATCAGGTAAATATAGGCTTCATTTGTACATGTGAAATCATGAACTTAATGCAGTCAAATAAGGAAAGCTGATCTGAGTGAAGGCAAAGTATCGCCAGTGTTGTTTTTTCCTTTTTTTTGTGGCAAAAACAACGCAGCAAGATTAGTTACCATGTTAGGGGGTAGGCATGCATTCCGAACATACGCAGACCTCCCGGAAGAATTCAGATTAGCTTGTGCCATCTTGTCTTCTTTTACCTTATATGTGCATGAGTCTCTCAATTGCCACCAATCAGCTCGAATGTCGCAGGAAGTTGATGTGACACATCTGGCTTCCTCCGTCTTGCAGAGTCCCAATGGGGGAAGCAGCTGAAGTCCTCCCTGACTCTCATCCCAATAAATGACAGATGCTGACGACTGCCAGTTCTGTACGGATGCTTTAGCTGCAGAGTGAATAAACTACAAGAGATTTATGATCTCCGTTCAGAAGTCACACAACTCACAGATTAGCTCTAGAGTCCTGACTGGCTCATAAAAGAGAAAAAGGAGAACCAAATACGTGGAGGGGCTGGAAATGACCACAGAACAAGGTGTTCAATGTAAACGTAAATAAAGAGGGTTTGTCGTGTAGTTAATTACCTATCTTCTCAGCCAAACACTGTTTCAACTGCAAAGCAACTTGACATACCAGTGTGCGAGAAGCCGGAGCCAGCTGGAGAGTTGTGTCTTTCCGAAAACAAAGAACACTTTCACACAAGTAGTGAAATCTTCTCGCGACAAAAGTTACCAACTCTTTACATCACAGCGCAGATCTCTCGCTTAAATCCCTCCACTTCCTACCACCTCACTTTCCGGCGTCTTTGCTTGCTCCACGGCATCTTTGAACTCCGCCGTCATTTTGATCTCAACTACACACCTTTCACAGCTGGTAAACAGCTATTCCTTGAAGAAGAACTTGTCCCTTAGTGAGCTTGAAGGACGAGCTTGGGTTTAACCTTTTTTGTGTCAAACATTCACAGCATTACTGTCACAAATCCCACTGCCTTCTGCCCCCCGGAGGCCGCAGACCACCCACATGACCGGGGAGCTAAATGTCAATAGGATGTAGTTAAGAAAGCAACCTCAAAAATAATGTATGCAAGTCCAAACCAGTACAAACCAGAGCCGTCACTGTTTAGAGAGCTATCTGCTGATGTAAATCACAGCCATTTATAACCATTACAACAACTCTAAAGAATATCACGAGGGCGAAAGGTCAACATGTTCACGAAGAGTTCAAATGGGAAGAAGTAACTCCTCTTTTTCTGTTCCCAGTGCTGATGGACACAAGACAATTGGACAGATCTTCCCTGCTTCACACTCCATCATCTCTGAATTCACACTGTGGTGCAGCATTCACTGCAGCAGGCCCCTAGAAGGGCAGGCCGGCGCTATGTTAACAAATGTCTTATGTCATTAATCCAAAACGAGGCTCCCACTCTGTCTCTCGTCCCTTATTTTTAGAAACGTGATCATCGTTTGGGACAGCAGAGATGGAGAAAAAACAGAACAAATACGCAACCAAAACAGTGTTAATGAGCACATCCATCAGTAAGCAATATTTTCCAGTCCAGTACTAGCAACATAAACCATGTGTGTTAAGTGTAATATTTTACTTTATATTGCACTTTCTGGACCTGCAGGCCAGGGCACTGATCCCACAACTACACCAGCTGCTGCAGGTCAGACGTACAGGGTCGCCTTGACAGCAGCTTTCCATCAATAACTCTGTTACATGAAGAGATGAAGCACGTCATGTGGCAAAGATAACTGGCAAGAAGAACAAAAAACCTCCAACTCAAGATTGGTAGAGGATTAATAACAAACTCAAGTATTAGCTGAGGTTTTGACACTTGACTGGCTGTGGAACTGATGAAAGGTGGATGAAACATCCTTCAGAGTGCAGATGGAGGTTCACACCGGTCTGCAGAGTGATCACATCGTCGGGGCGTTTGATCAGCCACTAGTTCTCTTCCCTTTTTCAGCTTCCTGTATGTGACGGGGCACTTTTCTCTGCTTGGAGGTACAGGGCATTGAGTGTCTGCATGTCTCGTTAGTCAGCTGACACCGGGCAGACACTTTGATTTTTCACTTCCCATCTGGGGAGGCTGTACAGATCCGGATAAAACCGTTTAAGTGATATATCTAAATGTTTGTTTATGTTTAAGTCTTTAAAGTGCTTCAAAACGGCTCAACTTTAAATGTCCAGTCAACACTATAAATATATTCAGATTATTATAGAAAACAGATTTATACTTCATCAATTAGTAGTCAGCAACTCGGAGAACCTTAAGTTCTGTCTAACTTTGTTAAAGAAGAAAGCCCTCCTCACACCGTGTGAAAAGAAGCTGCCCGAGGGCACAATTAAAAACTACTTAGGTCCTCTCTCCATCATTTGTGTCAGAGATCTACCTAATACACCAATTAAAACATCTTGTAAAATCACATACTAATAATAAAGTCAGAAAGCCAAATAAAACGTTTATTCCAAAAGAACAAATGAATAAATCTCAGTTTTATTTTTCTTAAACCAAAATGTGGTTCAAACCTGTAATGTTCATAAAAACGAATGGCTGGTGCCGCTATGCTGCTGCAGCAGCTGCTCTGTTTATATTTTCGTCTTAAAATTGCAAAGAAGAAAACCAGTGAAAGAATCTGTTGAAGATGTGGAGCCTGTGTTGACTTGAGAAAGCGAGGCTGCTGCTGCCGAAGGAAGAGAAGAAACAGCCTGAAGTGCTACTTCTGATCAGATGTTATCACTCGCTGGAGAACAGGGGGAGACATTTCACAACCAAATGCTCCTCCAGGACTGGAATTCAGGGAAACATGCCCTGTCCCACCTTCAAAAAATAAAAAATAAAAAAAATGCACATGCAAATATTTGCTTTGCGATCAAACAAAATTTACATCACACAGTGAAGGCCGCTTAACTGCGAGCTCAGACGTTGTCGACAAGGGACTCGACGTTTTAGACTGTTTTTCCTCCACCAAAGTCCTCCTTAAGTAGTTAGTTCCCAAAGATCAAAAGCAGATCATTGAAGTCACAAGTGAGTCGATTCCCACTGAGCTCTGCAGACTTCAAAATGTGGCTCCTCGGGTGGCTGCTGTTGACGGATGACACTGAGGGGAAACCCTACACGTCGAGTCTCTCTAACCGGTCTGCCCTGAGGTCCTTTCAAAACCAGATAGCCTGCCTTAGAGCAGCGCTGAAAGCCACAGAGATGCTTTGCAATGTGAGAAGATGCTTGTTGTTGCTGAAACTATTCACACAAATGATTTCAAGCAGCAGAGAGCTGCCGATACAAACATAATGCCAACAAATAGTATCACTGAAAAGCCTTTAATCCCACAGAGAGACCTCTACACCTTTTAGAGGCCTGAGATAAGCTTTATGTTCCTTTTGCTCACACCAACACCCGGACTATAGTTCTAATTTTCAAAGTAACGCCTGACTGTGATACAGTAAATGAATGGAACAGTTAAAACTATTAGTCTGACCGTTTTTAGCCTTCTGGCGACCCATTTAATACTGTTCTGCACATCTGAGAGCAGGGAAAACAACATATGGCTCTTCTGACATGCCCAACAAATCAGGTTTGTGTGCCGTTAATGGTTACCGTTTGACAAAAGAGCATATGGTCAAACAAAGTAAATGGTATTAGTCCTCGCTGCCGCTTTGTACGACGTGCTTTGTCTAAATCTGCATGATTTGTTTATTTCTTTTCTCTCGTAAATCCACCAGAATACTGACGTAAAGCAGCCGGCAGAGCAGCGTGTCAATCTGTGCCGTCAACTCTGACTAAAACTACAGTCAGCTAGACCCACACTGACAGTGGCAGGAAATGAAAATGACCGTATACTTACTTAAGCCTTCCCGCCATATGCCAGGGCTATAATGACAGGCTGTTTGTGAATGTGGGTCCCTGGATGGATACAAAGTGGTTTTACCAGACCTCAGAGCAGTTTGTAAACGACTCAACAACACTAACACAGGCAACCGATTTGTATCAAAGAGGGAAACACGTGTTTTCTTACATGGGTTTTAAAATATAATGATGAGGTTTATTCCACTCTCTCATCCATTTGGTGTTAATCAGATGCTCAGCTGTAGGCGAGTTCATAAGCAGTATACCAGCACCTTATCCTGGGATAAAACCTGGATACGCTTTGGGGGAAACCTGCATATGTTAGCTGGAGGATCTGTGGCATGTAAAGACCTCCTTAAGGTTTCTGATCAGTGTGAACAAAGAGGAGTGGCTGAGAGAGACGACCAGGAACCTCATTAGTTATGACCATGTAGCTATATGGTGATGGGAATAACCAGGATTCACCATTTTCTCTCTAAAATGTTATATCAAAAATACAATTTAAAACCAGGATACAAATGTGAATGTCTCAATAACATAAATTTGGGTAAATCTTATGATCAGAGGGGTGCTGTAAACTTCCCACCTCCACCATAGATATTGCATAGTAACGGAATTTAAACCAATTTAAACGAATACAAAAATGTGGTTTCCACTTTAGTTTAAATGTGTCAATGTTGTTGAGGGTGCGTGGTGTTAAATCCCTATTACAGACTAATTCACTGTCTGTACTTGCTGTACTAAAGACCTTAATGCAACACTGGGGAGGTTGGAGCCTGTTACAACAACAACAAAAACACACTAATCTGCTCCGGATTGGAATTTGAACTGCTGGTCGAACAAAACAAAAACATAAAAAATAACGGAACATAATATAAAACCACAGATCAATTTACAATCCGGCTAATAGGGGAGGGCAATTAAATCAATTATCTGTTATACATATGGCTACACATATTAGATGGAGTATTTTTTTTTTTTTTTCAATGTATGATTCAGTGAGTTTAAATCCTCTTTGACGTTAATTAGCCAGCAAGCTAGCTAACTAACAGACGTTAAAACACTGCTAGCTCCAGAGGAACACGACGGGGCGTTTAAATTATCCTCAAATTCAACACAAAAGCCTGCTTTGATACAACCAATATCTAAATAGTGCATTTACACACAACAATAAGACCACATACAACCGACCGGCTCCCGGTTAGCTAGCCCCGTTAGCCGGTGGACGGACATCATCACCTCACCTCATCACACACACAAAAAGAAGAGAGAGGAGAGGAGCGGAGGGAGGCTGCAGACTAACAGACGATTAAAACACACTCTCACCATCTGTGCTTCTTGTCTGCGACACGCTGGCCGATAAACGTCTGTTCACTCAGAGGCTGGAGGTTGATATATTTGCTCTCTCATTCAGGTTTTCGAGGTTTTTGTTGTAGACGTTTTGTCCCCTAACCCGGTGAGTTTCTACCCTCCGCTTCGCCTCACGTCTCCGTTTTCAACAGAACGGTTTTTTTTCTTCTCCCCGGCAGGATGTCGCGCGCTATTGGTTCTCATCTGCTCATGGCGCATTCAGGGTCTGTCGGGCAAATGACAACTAATAGTGGAAACAAGGATGTCGCTGTCAGGCTTTTATGTAGATATTACCCCACCACACAACGAGCTCCAGTGCTGTACTACTAGCTTTTACATTCGGAAAAAAATAGTATTACTACAATGTAGAAATACTAGCATAAGTTCCGCATTCAAAAGTTTGCTTTATACTAAAGTATTGGCATCAAAATATACTTAGACCCAAATGTACACGTAGCCTACTCATGGTGCACAAAGGCCCATTTCATAATGTATATTAACTTACTGATGCATTAACTGGTACATCATTTTAAGGGGGATAATTTAGTTATTTAATACACTGATTAAAGTCTTATCTTATATTTATATCTAATATATACATTTGTGACTACCACAAATATATTGTTTTATAAAATGAGTTATATTTTATCTATACATTTAACTTCTGCGCTTCGGTCTTAGATTGTTTTACTTGAATGATTTTCTAGTAAATCAGACTTTCATTCACTGCTTCTCTGTAATTGTTGTGCATATGACAATAACTAAATATAACTACATCACATCTTAATTGTGAATTATATTTTGTATTACTATAAATAAACAATGTAACTGGTAGCTGAAGTTATCAAATACAAGAAGTGGAGTAAAAATACAATATTTGTAGAATTTCACTGTCGGAGGCTACAACTCCACATTATCACTATTATTAACATTCCCTTTGTCATCAGACTGAAACAACAGAGGGAGGTAACGGTTCGTTCAAGGCAATTAAATTCTGCCCCCCAGTGGTCACAGCGAGTAAATACAACTCAACTGCATAAGCATATTGTGACATAGAAAAGAAGATACAAAAGTTGACGCCAAAGGAATCTTTTTAATCAAAACCTAATTTTCCATGTGTGAATGAACACTTCAAATTCCAAACATACAAACAAGTTTCTTTCTTGAAAAGCATAGACAAACTTAAATGCCAAAGAAAGACACTCCACTAGAACTTGAATACAAGACACAGAAAGAGCTACATAGTTTTAACATACGTGTGTGTGTGTGCGAGACTGTGAATCCTCACAGAGCGCTTTTGTAAATTAAACAGTTTTAAGAGTTAATTTTGTACATCGACAAAATGCAAAACACACAAACACTCTTTGCAAAGGATCAGGAACAAAAATAAAGCCTCAGGTTTACAAGCACGAAAGCATTTTAGGAGCTCAAACAAGACAATAACCAACATGATCCTAGTTTTGAATTGTTTACTGACGGCAGGATTCATTACAGCTCTATTGTTTGATCCTGCTGACTTACAACAGTCTTGATGATAAATGTACAGTGACCGTCTCTGAGCTGCTCGTGTTGATCTGTCTGACACTCTTCATGAGGTCCTAACCAACCTCACTGTACACTTTTATTCAAAGTCCACAAACCCCCCTTATGGTCCTGTGCCAGCCTCTGATATGCTCTGCTATCTGCCTACACAACAGACACGCTCATCATGGAGCAGTTAGTTGCACATATTATTCTATTGGTGTGTTTATTTGTTTTCTTTAGTTGTCCCACCTACTCTTTCTACGCTTTGGTGGCTCAGGGACCGCAAAGCTATCATCGTCATCTCTGTCCCTCACTTCTCCACTCCCCCTGTCACCTCCGTCCCTCTCACTCCTACGATCCTCTCCTCTGTCCCTCCCCTCTCCACTCCCCCTGTCTCCCCCGTCCCTCTCACTCCTCCGATCCTCTCTGTCCCTCCCTTCTCCACTCCCCCTGTCTCCCCCGTCCCTCTCACTCCTCCGATCCTCTCTTTCCCTCCTGCTTCCGTCTCCATTACGACTATCTCCGTGGCGGCTGCTGCTGTAGCGGTCCCGGTCTCCGTGGCGGTCGCGATCTCTGTCTCGATCCCGGTCCCCGAATCGATCTTCCCCGCTTTGTCGCTCGCTCCTGTCGCTGTGGCGGTAACTGTCGTGGCGCCCCCGGTCCTCCCCGTGTCTGTCCCGAGGGATGTCTCTCTGTGGGGGAGGTGCGGGCGGAGGGTAGTTGGGCTGTGAACTGGTTTGAGTGGCGGGCACAGAGCTCAGGGTGCCAGCGCTGGTGAAGCCGGACATGGTCATGGACAAGGCGGCGCTCTGGGCCCGCTCGGCACCATCGGGGGACTCGGTCGGCACAGAACTCAGGCTGCCGGCGCTAGTCCAGCATGACGAGCTGTTAGACTTAGTGCTCAGCTTCGGGGGGCCGCTGGACGCTGCCACAAAATGGCTCTTATACTGAGCCTAGAAGAGACGGAGACATTGAGAGGAAGAGATTAGCTGTCTGGAAAGCAAAACAAGGAATCCTGAAATCCAAAAAAAATCTAATTATGCAAATGACAAACATATATTTGCAGGGTGGTGACAGCATGCTGATTTAAAGAGGTCTTAAGAATTTTTGCTCTCTCACCCATAACACAAGTAATAATACGATAGTATTTTAGTATCATAAATGAAAAAGACAATATAAATAACTGTGAAATAAAGTTAAAGATTTAATAAAGACATCATAATTACGACAGAAGTAGAGAAGATGGAGAGTTCTACCTGGAAGGCTGATTTCATAGCAGACATGCGATCTCCCATCGCCCCGCTGGTTGGTTTGCTGTAGCCTTCAAAGCTACTAGTGGAAGACAAAAAGTTGCCGCTGCGTTCCTGCAGAAACACCCGAGAGTTACTCACATATCTCTGACTTTTCACCAAATATCCCCATGGATCTGCATAATGTGTTCATTTACTAATAATTACTACGATTGTACCCACAATATGGGGGAAAAAAAAGCAGATTTAGGGTGAGGCAAATATTAACTCACAGAACTTTCAGCCCCCAGGCCGGGTCTCTCTCTGTAACCAAGACCTCCTCCGCCAATATTCATCTTCTTTCCTTTACCACCCTTGAATCTGGATTTCCTGAACCAGGGATTCTGGGAAAAAATGTGAGCAGCATACAGTTAAAAACATTAAATCCAAAAAAACAACACTCCACAGCTTTTTTTTTGTTGTTGTTGATTCTTTGACTGATCTCTCTCACCTGCATGGCTAAATCCATCAGTTCTTTGGAAACTGACTGATTGGCTCCCTCTAGATTTCTCACGAGGTCACCAGCGAATGTGGTGTCTTTGTTGGTGAGGAGAGTGTAAGCCACACCCTTCTCTCCAGCACGACCAGTTCGACCAATTCTGTGTGTGTGCGTGTCGATGTCTCGCGCCACGTCGTAGTTTACCACTGTGCGAATGGATGGGATGTCCAGACCGCGAGCTTGGGAGGAAAGCAAACAGGAAGCAGGAAAATGTTAAATAATGTTGATAAAACTAAGATACTATCGGTTTTTTTTTTTTTTTTTAACTCATCTCTCGATATACAAAAAAACCCTCCTCCCATCTCCATCACCAGCTCCTCTTGAACTCACCAGCTACATCAGTGGCGACCAGAACAGGCAAATTCTTCTTCTTGAAGTCGCTGATGACCTTGTTCCTCTCACTCTGGTCCATGTCTCCGTGCAGGAGGCCCAGGCTGTAACCCTCCTGGGTCAGGTTAGTAGCCAGTTCCTCACAGTTTGCCTTCTTAGTGACAAAGATGAGGACCGAGCCGCTGGAGGTGAACTCCACCACCCGCCGGGTCAGCCAGTCCCATTTATCTGTGGCGCTGCGCAGCATCTCCACCATCTGGGTGACATCCTCATTGGCCTGGTCAGAGAAGTAAGGTAATTCAAACAGGGCGGTATATTATTTTATTACATTTTAATGAAAGTGTAAATATTGTACACCTAAAAACGTTTAACTTTTGCTGCCACGATAGCTCAGGTTTACCAGGACACAACTATCTGTGCCTTTTAAACACATTTTCACTTCACACTTTAGTTTAAAATACAAGTTTTGTATTTGTGATTTGGGTCTTTGAGACACACTGACAAAAAGGATTATATTAGCAAATGTATCTCTTTGTGTAGTCACATCTCTTGCAGATAATGTATGACGACGCTGCACACCTCTCCGATGTCTCCCTGCACCACGCGGATAGGATCGACCAAGATGTCTCTGGCAAGCCTCTCTATCTTCTTCCGGAAAGTAGCGCTAAACAGAAGGGCTGTGAAGGAAAAGATGAAGAATTATTATTTTGAAATGCTCTGAAGCCCTGCTATCCATGACAAAGAGGCATTGTCTTAATATTTAAGGAAAGCCACTTACTCTGTCTGTCTGGGCGGACATGGCTAGCAACAGATCTAACCTGATATTCTGAAAGGTGAAAACAGAAATAAGCTGTAGTGGCCAAAACAGGGTTCAAACATCGTTGATGCAACAATGATAATGCCAACTCACCAAAACCCATATCAAACATGCGATCTGCCTCATCAAACACCAGGTATGACACTCTCTGCAGGGTCGTGGCCTTCTTTTTCACGTGGTCAATCAGACGACCCTGTGCAAACACAAAAAAACCAGTAAATCTCCCATTCGTTGCAGCAGCAGAGCGTGAATTTTCCTCTCAAGAGGCAGGTCGAAGTCTTGTCTCTTACCGGAGTGCAGACCACAATCTCGGCTCCCTCCTGCAGAGCTTTGGCCTGCTCCCACATGCTGCCTCCTCCGTAAACTGCCACAGAACGCAAAGAGTAGGCTTTCCCAAAACGCTTACATTCTGCGTGGATCTGGTAAAGTGACAGATATTAGTGAGCCTGCTCGCTTAACGATGTCTTTCTCAGTTAATACTAAAGCAAACATCCTCTATACATTCACAAAGTCTGACTCAGTTCCTTCCCATTTCTTACCTGCTGACAAAGCTCTCTGGTGGGACACACGATGATGGCGATGGGCCCCTCTCCTGGCTCCAGTTCCTTTTGGTCCATGATGTGAACCAGCATGGGCCAGATAAAAGCTGCAGTTTTGCCACTGCCAGTTTTTGCAATACCAATCATGTCACGTCCAGACAGAGCTATGGGCACACCCTAAAACCCAGATCGAGGAGGAAAAACAACAACGATTCTTCATGAAATCGTCATGAAAATATTTAACACGGAACAATTTTGAAAGCTTAAGATGAAATCGGCACTATACCTGGCACTGAATCGGTGTGGGCTGAGTGAACTCGGACTTGCGGATTTGGTGCATTAACTGCTCATCAAAGTTGAAGTGGGCAAAGCTAGTACAAGGTTTTGGAGGAGCTGCACCAGACACCTGAGAAAGACCAGAAAAAAGAAAAAAGAAAAACTCAAAGACTGTTATGATGATGCTGACGACGACGTGATGAAGAGCCATGCCTCCAAAGATTTTTCCATAGTCACCACTGCGAGACATATTGCTATAAATTGGATTGGGGCCAAACAAAATGATTGAATGAGAGTAACAACTACAATGACGTGTTTATCGTATAACATTTATGTACTTGTTTGCATCCCCGACTTACCCTTAAGTTCAATTTGTGCCTTAACTCCAACACTTGAGTTCCAGTCAGGTTGATGAGCTCTTCATGCTCATTGAAGAAGTTTTTCTCAAAGGGTGGGTAATCAATCTATTGACAAAAAGACCAAAGAAATGCAACAAAAATCACTCAAATGACACACGTTAAAAGACATCGAATATGAATCCATAGTTGAGACAATACTCAAACAGTCGGGTCAACCGTACCTCAGAGTGGTCAATGGGGGGAAGCGGCAAAATGATTTTCTTGGTGGTGGGGGCAATTGGGTTCCCGTCACTGTCATAGTCAATGTTTTCATCCTCCTCCTCTAGGCTCAGCCCGGCAGTGGGATTCTCTGCCATGTAGCGGAAGTAGGCTTCCTGCAGAGAGTCACAGCATTTCACGTGAAAACCTGAGCCGGTGTGCTGCTCACCACAGCGTCCAGGTACTCACAAAAACCTGAGGAGACATTCAGCTCAACAGACGGAAAAAATTACTTACAATCTGTCATCATCGTATTACTTGCCAATATAAAATCAACAATTAAAACATGCTTTTTTTTCACACTTTCTAGACAGCAAGAATGATCACAAGAAAAACAACTCCATCATAATAATCCTAAATGCAACCTGCGTGGTCAGATAGAGGGAAGGGCGGGGGGGGGGGGGGCTTTATAACATTAGAGGGTAGATTTAGGGGATGTTTGGTCTGGAGATCTCTCTGAGCAACGATGTAGTAGATGAAGAACTTTGGAGGGCTCACTCACTTGTTCATCTTCTTCTTCAATGTCATCACGAATACCCCTGAAATGACAAGCGGAGAAAAAAAAAAAACTTCCCTGCGGCTCGTTCATACACCCAAGACAGCCCACACACCCTTCATGACTAAGGTCGGTGCTTACCTGATAAAATCTATTAAGCCAGCAAAAAACATTGCTGGATGTGCCAGTAATCAAAGAAACGTAAGATGTAATTATTGCATAAAGATAACTGCTATTGGTAGTTAAGACAGTGAATAGAGCATACAAGTTTACAGCATTATTATCTCAAATTAGGGGGCTTACACTTTCGCTCACAAAATATTAATTTATGTGGGGGATCATTTTTTTCATTCTAGGCACATTTTAATTAAAGCACCGACATAATGACCTCAGAAGTGACTAAAAATCAAATAAATGAAAACTTTGAGTCTTACTTGGCTGACTTTTTCTCCTTTTCTTTTTCCTCTAGTTTCCTCATGTCTTTAGCTGCTTGGTTCTGCAGGGGAAAGAAAATGTGTGAAGAGAAAACAGCAGATTCAGCATTTGGAAGTATTTTCTACTTTGGCTCTGCCGGCAGCGGGTGGAGTCTCTTCTCACCTCAACCTCTGCCATGAAGGCGTCCAGTGGGTCATCTTCACTGTCTGACCCACCACCAGACTGCATCTGCTGCCGTGTGGGCGAGTTCTCCGCTGGAATGTACGGCAAGTCGACATTGCTGCTGGACTCCTCTTCATCGTCCTCAAAATACCTTGTTAAAAATGACAACGCTGCAGTTGTTTAATTATTCAATACCACCACATCATCATATTATTTCTTAAGGGGTTGAATATATGTAGAATAGTAGATTTGTATAGATGCAATACTTACGCATTTTCCTCATCAAAATTGGCTCTTTTTGTCCCTATTTTGTAGAACGATGGGAGCTGCTGGCCCTTCCCGTATCCACTCGATCCCGGGGTTCCGAATGTTGTGCTCGGGTTCTGAGGAACACTCGGTTCTTCTTTTTTCCCTGCGAGGGAAAATCCTCCAAATCCGAACCCTCGCTTCACACCTGGACCACCTTTGTTCCAGTTCATGGCTGTGCTGTAAATACACACACATACACAAATCTAGTTTCAAACACTTGGCATTTATTTGTGTGCCTTTGTTCTTTACTGAAGATACTCCAAATTAAATGTGACTCAGCACTGAATCATGGAAACTTCTCTTCAGCGGGACCTATCTGCACACTTTGGACACTTCATCTTGCCATTTAGACAAGGACCACTATTGGAAGGTGTATTTTCAGGAAAGATGGCAGTTTCACTAGGAATTAGACCGATTATTAGTCATAAACTAATATGACTAATTAGAAAGACAATTAACTTTTTTTTAGTTAATTGTCTTTCAAATCAGCACAATAACCTGTGGTGTATATATATATATATATATATATATATATATATATATATATATATATCGTACCAACATTGAAGATCATAATGTCTTCGTAAGTAACACTATATATCTAACGGTCGTAGTTGTGCAGATTAAACAGAAGACGAATGTTGTAATATAACGTTAAAGGCTTTAACTGACAATTTAATTAATGTCCATGGAGGCACACAAGTTTTCCAAAAAGCAATAGTACATTATTTAGGTATACTTAACGTCGGGTTCTGCAGGAGAAAACGTTATCAGACTGAGAAAGTGGCGTAACCGAGTTAACCTAAAGCTAACTAGCCGTTAGCTAAACACGACGGTACAGATCATTACAGCGTTAGCATTCAGCTGCTGGCTGCAGGGCGGTTACTTGTTTCATCGTTAACTTTATAACAACATAACATTGGCCATCGCTACACGTACCGTTAGCGTTAGCTCAAGGCCGCAAAATGAGGCCGAGTTGAGAGATAGAGGTGTGTGCGAGGATCGTCACCCCGTGAATTGGGTGAAGTTAGGCTGTGTCTCACGACCACGCGCAGTATACGATAACATTATCCGTTGGCTGAATGTATCAATATATTTTTAAACAGGGGCAAACAGGGCGTATTTACCTGTTTCTTGTGCCAGTGAAACCTCCAATGTTTTCAGAAGACTGAGAGGCGCTTACGTCATTAGTGCGCGCAAAGAGTCTGTTGTCATTTAGTGCGCGACGACGACGCTCAGAGCGTAGTGAAGAGAGCGGCCAAAACATCCCGAATACATTATCCTAAAATATAGTATTTCTTCAGGCAGGCGTTGCTGTTCTGAACACAAAATAGGTAAGTTATTAATACATTAAAATAACACCATTTGTTTTTTGCTAAAATATGTCACGGTAGGTGCTTTAGCTAACGGTAACGTTAATCTACTATTGCTAGCCATGCTGCGCCCTTTGCATTAGCAAGCCATTCTATATAGCCGAGCGCAGTTTGTGACTTATCTGCTATAAATTAGCTATTTGGTTTTATCTGGTCTGATCAGATTCACGTTACGTCGCTTGCTATCGTTGGGAGTCAGCATCTCTGTGTTCGCATGACAGCCACCATTATAAAACATAGAATGTTGAGTGATTTCAACCGCAACATCTTGCATGAATAAAAATAATCATCCTTTAAAGCCAACACTGACCACTGAGATCATCTGGCTGATAGACTCGACTTAATAAGGTTAAAAGGTTAATATGTTTGGTTATGTTCCAGAACATAAGTCATTTCACTGATTATCATTAAAACCTTCAAATATGTTTTGTTCTAAGCAGATGTGTGCTATTTGTCAGCATCTTGTTTTTATTCTATTATAGACTTCTAAAGTGTAATAATGATCATTTATAATCATTGACTCTCATTGGCAAAGATGATTCAACCAGAGGTTAGTCCTCATCTGATTCAGTGGTGCCAATATATTTATTACAAATGGAGAAAGAAGGAATGACAGAAGGTGTGCGCTTGTAGTATTTGCTTTGTTGTGTATGTGGATGCACATTCTGTAGATATTCTGACAATAAAGTGAAATCGCATAAATGAATGAGCATGAAAGACCAACCAAACGTGTCCCCAGCAGAAGGAGACCAAACAGAGACGTCCTCTGCTTCAGAGCTTTTTCGTTTGTCTTTAAAGGTTTCCCCTGGATGTGTTTTCAGCTTCTCATATGTAACCCACTCAAGAGGATCCATGTCTTTTCTTGTGAGTGTTTGCCAAGTACCTCATATTTTAGACGGAGGTTTTCATGTCCAGTTTAGTCCGAGACCCAGGATTAAATCTACACTACTTGTTTTTAATCAATATTTCAATTGAAGCTTAATCCCTATAAGGGAAATCGAACTATAATCACATCTATGACAGCTTTCATTGCAAACAGCCTGACACTATTTAGGAGGTGAATGAATCATCTTCCTGTAACAGTTTTGAATATGTTTCTGTGGGACGTTTTCTTTATTCTGCTTGCATTTTGTCTCCCTTCTCTCCATGTCTGTTATTGACCCTCTGTGTCCGTCAGCGTTGGGTATCTGAGAAACTGAGTGTGGAGAGCCTGCGGGACTTGGAGTTATTTGGAGGTGAGGTCCAAAGCACACTGAGATACAACAAAACTGATCAATACATTATGGCTTCATGACCACGAACCGAAAGCAACAGTCTGCTCTAGTGGAAGCTTCTTGTGGTAACTTATGTGTTTAACCACATTTGATTTGGGGCTATAAAGTCTGAATTTGATAGAATATATTGATACAACAAAGTATGGAGCTCAGTGTTGAGCAGAGCTTTGAGATAGCAGTTAACATTTGTGTATGTATCTCCTACATGGTATCATGTAATTGCAGCATACTATCGGTCCAAGTTGACACGGATCAAAATCAACAGTTACATGTAACGTAAGAAACATTGACAGTGTGATCAGCTGTGATGCTGTTTCACTTCATCAGAATCCAGAGTTCGTTCAGTCGCAGTACATCCTCTTTGTTTTTAATCGGTATCAGACTTGCCCGCTCGCGCTGCATTTATCTCAGCTCTGCACGACTAACTTGTTCACATGCAACAGTTACGTCATTATGTGCCGACGTGGTGCAAAGAGAGCTGCTTGTTAGCGGTGAAGACTGTCAGTGAGGCACACTCTTTTCGTGATCGTTAGCTTCTCAATTTTGTTCCCACAGTATTTACATAATATTTTTTTTTATCACAAGACGTGTCCGGGCTTAGTTCTGCCCCATTTATGTTTGGTAGTTAGTGTACCAGCTCCACACCACTCAGAACAAATCTCCCCATCTACGACACTCCCATGAAGAGACGATCATAGTTGTTTCTGCTGGAAAATTGTGGGGTGGATCCAAAGACCATCACTACACACTGTTCATGTTCACGCAGAAAATGGCTGACATTGTTCCTGAAACCGTGAATACCATAACTATGCAGATTCGGAAGGTTTAGTGTCTTACATTCTCCCCGTTTTTGATTTTCCTTGATCTGTCCTGTAGACTGCCGCAGAGCTGATTTAACTGTTTGTATCCTCATAAAAGTAGAAATGTATAATTATGATTGTCTCGGTCTAGACCAATAAAATGTGTCCTGTGAAAAACTACATTTATATGTTATTTGATATCATGTGTGTTGCTGTTTATTAGTGGTTTGTTTATCAATGATCTGTATAACTTGTGGCACATTATTGAATCTTTTGCGTATTATGGAAAGGTTTGGGTTGCTTTATTTCATTGCAAGCTTTGCCTCATTTTCAATTTCATTGGTCGCTGTTGCATGTTTGTTCAAGTGTATCATTTGTGTTTGGGCTGTGCTATATTCCCATGGCCTTACATCATATCTGGAAAGATCCTGCAGGGCATAGCTAGATTGTTTTTCAATTTTTATCATTTGCTTTGCCAAGAAAATATTGAAGTGTCCGATTTACTGGGGTGAGAATACTTTTTTTTTTTTCAGTTGCAGTGCAGTATCAGGTTAAACATATCACGAAAAACCTTTTGTATTGGTAATTATACGTCACTTTGTGGGCGGTCACCTGAAAAAGACAACGCTGCTTTCGGTCATCTGTCGAATTCTACAGCTGGCTGCAAACTCCCACTGCCAGATGCTGCGATTTCCAGTTCAAGAGCCGCTCTAAACCCAGACCCTTCTCTTGTTCTGTGTTTGTACGTGTCTTTATGTCATTGATGTGGTTTTTCTACCCCAGAGCAAGCTCAGGGATTCTCTCACAGGAAAGTAAGTGTGGTACTCCTGTCATCATCACCCCCAATTTGCCCTTTGTGTATGTGCGTGCATGCATGTGTATGTGCGCACACAGCTTTATATATAGAGGAATCCACAACCCCTCCCCCCCACCCCCCTCCCTGAGGCTTTCTACATTTACTTATGCATGAGTGTCTAGCTCATGACACACGCTGTACACACGCGTTGCTCAGAAGGTCACCTCACTCACCAGTGCGTAAACAATAAACAAGTCTGATCTAAATAGTCCCTCCTCAGTGGGCCGGTAACTGCACTGTTTGGGATGTTGGTGTCTCTTTGTCACCTCACTAAGAGTCTCATTTTGTGTGTGTTTTGCGTTTTTTTTGACACTGCCCGTCTGTGCCGACGGCCTGTTGTTGTGTTGATGGTGTTACACTTTCGATGTCAGGCTGGAGGTGAACGGAGTTCCACGTGTTCAGCTTTAGCAAGGCATGGCAACCCCTTCTGAATCTGATCACGCCGGCAGTTTGTGAAGTGATTAGATGCAACATTTACAGATGTTCCCTTAGCTGATGGCTGCCACGGCATGTTTGGCTTTGCCGTCATGCCGGTTTTAATGTGCAGTCAAGTTTACGCTGTAGCACAAAGCACCGTTTGACTTCACGTCCGGAGAGAACTGTCCACACATGGAACAACTCTTGGTTTTATCTGCGAGGGTATTTTCAGAGTTGTGCGTGTCACAGAACTTCATCTTTATCTTGAAGCTACCTTCACCTGTTAGGATACAAGTGTGCACAAGGAAGTGCACTTTTCTAATTTGGAAAAGATCCAAATCGTCATTCAGCTTGCCTTCATTTGCCTCCACAGCTTGCTTCTGCAATCTATCCATTGACATTATGGCGATAAGTTGATGGAATTCAGGAGTCGTCGCTGCCGGGATTATTAACTTTTCTCTACATGTGTTTGTGATTCACATGTCTAAAACATTTGCTTATGTGTCGGCAACATTTTGTCTCTCTGTATTGATAACGCACCTCAGCCTCTCCTTTGGGGATCACTTAACAGTTCTCACACATACTGTATCACCAACCCTCCGGTAGTCACTCACAAGCTCCCTAACACAGTGTAGCAAAGTGAAGTCAAGTGTCGGAGCCCATCTTCACTCGTTCTGTTTCCTCTCCTCCACCTCCAGGCCCATGAGGACAGCCAGGAGAGTCTGACCTCCCTCCCACGTCGGGACACCATGGGCAGCTTCCTCCCGGACAGCAGCTCCTACGAGCTCCTCACTGTTATCGGTATGTGAACACACACCTGGACGTGGCTGCTTCGGTTTCATTCCGGGGTTTTTTCGAGCAGAAATTAGTAGTAGTTATATAATATCATTGGTTAAAGTACAGCTGCTTGTGACGAGACATATTGTCTTTATAGAACTAGTTCACTGCACATAAATACTCTGAAAACAAGGACTGGAGGATAACTTGTGTAACAGTGACATGAGTAGCTTGTTAAATGAAGTCTGTGTTTTAGGCCGGGGCTTGGACGAATTGATGACGGTGAACCTGGCTCGATACAGACCCACCGGGGAGCACGTAGCCATCCGACGGATTGACTTGGAGTCGTGCACTTACGACATGGTTATCTACCTGCAGGTCCGCTCTCGATTTCCATCACTCTGCCATGACTCAGCTCCCCCGTAGTCTTTGCCTCTCCCCTGTTTAAAACATAATCCCCCTTCTTTCATCTCACCGATGCAGTGGGAATACTTACTTAACCCTCGTGTCTGTGTTCTCATTAACTCTCCTGCCTTTACTGCTCAACCTCTTATGCCTAATTAGATTCAGAATCATCCTTTCCTCTTGACTTTACTGCTCAACCTCTTATGCCTAATTAGATTCAGAATCATCCTTTCCTCTTGACTTTACTGCTCAACCTCTTATGCCTAATTAGATTCAGAATCATCCTTTCCTCTTGACTTGTAATTTCCTTTTCTCTGCCTCCCAGGGCGAACTACATGTGTCAAAGTTGTTTCACCACTCCAGTATCGTACCCTACAAGAGCATCTTTATAGCTGAGAATGAGCTGTGGGTCATCTCCCCCTTCATGGCCTATGGTAAGAAAGATCTTTGAACTGTCGCGGCGTTTTAACCGTACGTCATAAACAACATTTTAGAAGCAGCCTGTAGTTCTAGAGGCCAGCTGTCTCATCGTGGTTATGTGTGTGTTCGATGGTCTTTCAGGGTCAGCCAGAGATCTGATCTGCTCGCATTTCGCTGATGGTATGACTGAGCTGACCATCGCATACATTTTGCTGGGCATGCTCAAAGCTCTTGAATACATCCACCACATGGGATATGTGCACCGGTAAGATACACTTTCCACGTTGAGTTTTTATGTCATTTTGTATCAAAATAAAACAAAATATTTGGAAAACGTTCAAGATGCATTAAATGTTTCTCGTGGAATGTGTAACACAGTATGTATGCCATCATGGGACACTGAAACTGTCCCCTGAATGACATTATTAGGTTTTTTGTAAATACAGCTCAATGTGACATTCGGTGTCTTGAATGTCTTTGGATGTGTGTAGGAGTGTGAAGGCCAGCCATGTGTTGATCTCAGCCGACGGACAGGTCTGCATGTCCGGCCTGCGGAGCATCTTCAGTCTGATCCGCCACGGCCAGAGGGCCAGAGTGGTCCACGACTTCCCCCAGTACAGCGTTAAGGTGCTGCCCTGGCTCAGCCCGGAGGTGCTGCAGCAGGTACCGTACTGCATTCCTCCACAATCGAGCATTACATAATACCGAGGTAATACTGTGTGTGTGCTGCCAAAGTTCAGGTGTAACAGTTCTCTGTTTTCTCCCATCTTTTTTCTCAGAACCTGCAGGGCTACGACTTTCGGTCAGACATCTACAGCCTCGGCATCACAGCCTGTGAACTGGCCAATGGACACGTGCCCTTCAAAGACATGCCAGCTACACAGGTCAGAAGAAACCTAGCAGCTCCCTGCCTGTTCCTCTGCATCACAGTATCTGTTTGTAGCAAGAAATTTAGTGACAAATAGTGAAGCTTTCTTGGTTTTAATAACGTTACATTGATGAATAGATCGAGTAAATTGATAGGTAAAGGTCTTTTAAGATGTTTTTCCTCCAATCAAACGGTCGGTGAACTAACACTCTCCACATCCTCTTCACTCCCGCAGATGCTGCTGGAGAAGCTGAATGGGACGGTGCCGTGTCTGCTGGACACCACCACTATCCCACCAGAGGAGCTGTCGATGAAACCGTCTCGCTCCGGGGCCGACTCCGGCATCTGCGAGGGTCCGGGAGCCGGAGGTGTTCGCCACTCCAACGGAGAGCCCTCCTCCTCCTCGTCGACAGGCGGACATCCCTACAACCGGACGTTCTCCGCACACTTCCACGGCTTCGTCGAGCTGTGTCTGCAGCGGGACCCGGAAAAGAGGTGGGCCTCTCTCTTCCTTCACACTTAAATATTGTATTGGACAATGTTACGTTCAAGATACTAATTATTTTCCCCGTTTTGCTTTTCAGACCGTCTGCCACCACTCTCATAGGTCATCCATTCTTCAAACAGGTGTGTAAAATATCATTCTAGTTGAAACAGGACTTTGTGGTATTAAGAATACAGAACACCTTTGTTTTTGCACATTTACTGTGTGTTGACATTAAAAAAAGTAAGATTTAAAGATGGTCCTCCAAATGTATTTTTTTATTTCCCCCCTCCTCAGATCAAACGCCGGCCCTCAGAGGCGCTGCCTGAGCTGTTGCGGCCCGTGACCCCAATCACCAGCTTCGACGGCTCCCAGCCGCAGGACTCCCACTCTGGACTGGCCAGTCTGGAGTCGGGTCTCAGCCACCTGGATGTGGACGACTGGGACTTCTGACGGTGGAGGACGAGGCGGAGAGACGCTCATGGGATTTGGATGGGAAACTCTCTGAGCGTACTGGACGAGATGTGTTTTTGTATTGGTCCCCTTGTAAATAATTTAAATCTCAAACTAAAAGGAGTCGCTGTTCTCAGACAAAGGTTGAAAGCCAGCAGCCATTTTGCCTCTTTTTTGGAGTCTCTCACACACGCTTATGTTCCCTAGATATGTTCAGACTCTTGCATTGCACTGATGGCCTCTCTATTTTTCACACACACACACGTTTACAAAACACAACTCCTCTATTCCTCGTGCTGCTGCTGAGGATTCAGAGGAGAATCTGTGGGTGTAGATGTAGCCGAGACCTAAAGATTCTCATAAAATGGATCTGTGGGAAACTGCTACTAAACATTCAGAGGGGGGGTACTCTACCTCTCTGCACGTAGCCCATCTGCTCAGTGAAACCACCATAAGGGTGAACACCAGTCCTCACAGCTCAGTCAGCCTTCTGCAGATGGAAAGCTTCTCCCACGGGTCAGCTAAATTAACAGAATGTTGTACGCATTTCCTAACTCTCCGCCCGTGTTGAAGTGTAAACTCCATCTCATGCTCTCCATGTCTCTTTTGTTGCACAGAGGTTAAGCATGACATCTGTTTTAAGTTTAACCTTCAGAGCTTCGCAGTTTGTATTCTCTTGAACTTGCTCCGGGGCGTGATGTTACTTATGCGAGAAGTGAATGTTGCATTGTTGCTTGTTTTGTCTGCATGTGGACATTTGAAAGCTCAGTGTTGCAAAAATGTCAAGCTTGACTTTTAACAATAAACGTTGTTCACTTTCATGGTTTAACTTGATGGTACCACACACATCGAGGCAGTTAAGTCTTAAAAAACAAAAACAAGTTACTTTATTCCAAATTGACATACACAAACACATAAGGGGAGGGTTGAAGAAGGTTCAGATGCTGCTAATCTTCCTCCTCATCTGACGGCGGCTGGTCTGCTGCGGCGTTACGTTTCTCGATCTTGGCCATTAAGTCTGGAATAACGGGAAAATAATAGATTGAAGGGAATAGTCAAGATTCAGTCATCAATATGAATTTCGTAGAAGAAGTGTATTCCCCCATTTTCAAAGGTGATGGACTTACCCTTAGCGGGGTTAAAGACACCGTTGGTTTGAGTGTTGCACACATAGCAACGCTGGGACTTGCGGTAATGCTGAAGAGCACAGGTCTCGCAGAAGTAGTGCTTACACCTGGGAGATATTTAACTGGTTAACACGTTGCAGCTGGTAGTAAACGGTGAAGAAGCGGAGGACGAGAGGCTCACTTTGTGATGATGGGATTCTTGAAGGACTCCCTGCAGATGAAGCACTTAAAGGGCAAATCCTCATCGTCGCTGCTCACCTCGTAGTTCTCCTCGTCTAGATGACGGCACAGTATTGTTCAGGAGATGCAGACACAAAAAAAAAAAAAAAACTGACATGAATTCTGAACCTGAACTTACCATTGGCTCCGTATCGGCCCTCTTCCAGTTCCCGCTCAATCTGCCAGCCATGTTTGTAGTCCGATCTGTCGTGGAGGAACTTGCAGCTGTCTGAAAGCAGGAGAGAGAAGCACTGAAGTTAATGCTCAAGATGGCAAGTTATTCAGTTTTAGCTGTTCAACGGATGATTTCAAATGGTACAAATATCGTACGCACCTCCAAAACCACAGAAACCAGTCTCCTTGTAGTCTTTGCAGATGTCCGGCTGGTAGTCCCACCTGACTGTGGCTCTCAGATGTTCAGGGGCTCGGATTGGTCCTTTTCTGTTAAAATAAATGACACGTATTAACACTAATGGATTACATAACTTTCATAGGTGAGGAGTGTCTTATGGAAGCATGTGCTAAATATTGTCTTGGTACTGACCTGACCATGCCAGAGGAGGCGTTGCCCATGGTGGTATCTTTGGGCTTGATGAATTTTTGGTAGTTGTTGATGCCACGGTAGATTTTATCGTCTTCTTTACCCTCCAGTTCCTGTTAAAAATAATCCGGTCAGTAGGAAACACCAAAATCATTTACATTACTGAGTATTTATCTTAAAAAAAAAATGTAAATGTATGAGGAACCACACTTCATAAATGTGGATTAAAATGTAACTTTTGGCAACAATGTGCCATGAAGAATAGTGTCCGATACCTCGAGGATTTTCTGACTCCTCTCAAAGATCGCCTGAGCGTCGTTGTCTCGGTCCGTGTCCAGCTCGTATGTAGCAGTGGCACCCATGTCATCGGGTCCCTCCGCTTTCTTTTTTGGGGCAAGATTGAGAGAATAGCAAAGAGTGAGAAAGATTTCTACACCACTTCTATCGAGCCACAAGGCTGCGGCTTCAGAACAACATACCGCACTGTGAATGCACAAAAAGCTACTGAAGGATACATTTGTTTCTCCTTCCCTTTACCCTGAGATGGGGATTCAAACCATCGCACTCAATGGTTCCTGCCGCTCTTATAAAACGTAGTAAGAAAGAAAAGTCTCCACTCACTGCTGACCGCGTGGACTTGTAGGCAACAGTGACCTTCTTCTCCTCTTTGTCTCCTTCACCTTCACTGGAAGATGTTTCATCTTTCTCCACCTTCTTTGTCTGAACAGAAACAAGACCAGGGTCAGCTTCACCTCACTAGTAAACTCTAAATGTATTTTTAAATACTGTTATCATTAGCAGGGTACCCTTTGAATCATGGGGTTGACTCGAGTGTCCTTCTTTCCCTTTCTGACCACAGAGCTCTGATCCTCATCGCTGTTGCCATCTGCAAAAAAACAAAAAACATTTTTAGCATCTTGTCTTTAAGTCAGAATGCTGTTCTCCATAAATAACTCAATAACTTAGTAAAGGTTTGAATTCAGGACTTTTACTTGTAGTTGAGTATTTTTACAGTGTGGTATTAATATTATTTAACGTATCTGAATAGGCTACTTTTTTCCACTACTGACAATTGATGTATTAAGTGGTATTCAGGGCTGCAATAACATGTCATAACACACTGAATTCCGAGGGACCAGGAACGCAGCACAAATGAGGAAACTGGTATTTTGTATGTGACGAAAAAAAACCTAAAACCTCATTTGTTGACTCGTGTGACTCTAATCATGTAAATAGCATTGTTGTTTCAGGAACACAAACACTTGCCAGTTACTGGTTTGTGACAAAGCCGCAGCGTTACCAGCAGCACAGAGGATTGTAACCGTGAAAAACACAAAAAACATCAGCTAAAGGATAAATCTGTACCTTTGTCGCTGTCGCTTGCTTTTCTCTTTCGTCCGGAGAATTTCTTTGTAGATTTTTTGAAAAGAAAAGTACAAGGACCCGCTTTCGGCTCCTCAGACTCCGCCATCTTCCCCTCACTGCAACACAAATAACCGTCGCCGTCACCACAGCGCCCCCTGGCGTCTCGGAGTCTGTGCTGGTGTCCTGCTGGACAAGATGAGAATCTCCATTGTCCATAATTAATTGACTCTAAACCCAAAACATGGTCTTAATATTGATACATTTACCAAATTCAATGTACTTCAAACTACACATGGATTATGATGCCTTTAAATTGTGTATTCATTTTTGCAATTATTGTACACCTGTCTACCACAAATATGTATTATTCTTTATATTTTATATCTTATCCCTACATCTTAACTTATGCACTATTTGATGTCTTCTTTTTCTTTTGATAATTATTCAATGATTATTGTTGGAGGGAACATGAGAACCAAGTGGGAGACGTAACCAACAGCTCCTTTTCTGTATTTGTTGTGCAAATGACAACAAATAACTTGAAACGTCACTGCTTACAGAGATATGGCAATAGTATAACATAGTATGTTGTCGTTAAAGCTGTTTTTTGCTGCATTGTGTTTCCTCTGACACACCATATGTGTTGAAACTGGTGCTGGGCTTCGACTATGTTTTTGATTGTTTAATTGTGTGCTCACTGTGTTAACCAATTTCTCTTTGTGATACGAACCTTCATCAATTAATTTGGTATTCATGTAGGCCCACAAAATCTATTTTGATTCATATCTTTTTGAATATGCTATATAAACAGATGAAAGCTTGTTAGCACGAGCGGATAACAACAAAACCATGCAGCGTTCAGAAAAATAAATGAGTTTCTCACACCGACAAAGGATTAACCCATTTGCATTTGATGTTTTGAAGTTATACATCTTGAAAGCTATTGAGTGCGAGTACAGGCTACGTGAGTACGTGAAGGCATCATTTCTCTCAGCTGTGCCAAGTGCATGACGTAGCTGAATAAAACCGGAAATAAAGGTAGAAATATTATCATTTGGCAATCAGCACAATCCAACGCCAATAAGTGAGAGGATTTTATTTCGAAAGTCGTAACCGGAACTTGTGCATTCAATCGTCTCTAGTTTGATGGTGTTGCCGCTGTCCTGTCCTCCTCCTCCTCCTCCTCCACCTCCTCCTCCAGCAGCAGCATCCGCGGCTCCCCGCAGACGACAGCGGGTGTTTGTAGGACACAGAGCCCGCGGAGGGAGGGGACCTGGCCTGGGCACGGATCCCAAAGAGGCCCCGGGGCCGCCGCTGGATGGAGTCGGGCTGCATTCACACAGCAATGGCTATGGGTCTGACATCGAAAAAGGCGTCTGCTCGGAGCGTCGGTGTGGAGCGAAAAAACCTCATCACGGTTTGCAGGTACACATCACGACACCATCGATCCACAACGTTATCTGCAAGTAGCCCACCAGTGCCTGCATGCTGCTCAGTTAATATTTCAACAATGTTACCATAATGGAGGATGTTTATTTAATCCTGGGGTGAAACAGCCGGCGCACACGATATAAGGAAAATAAAGCAAAACAATTGACTGACATCTTTCTAGAAATGCTATGGATGAAGAGGAGGCAGGTGCATTTTCACCTTCACATACCCCTGCCATCACACACGCTTCTGTAGACCTACAGCATACCCTTAGTCTTCAATGTGTTCCTTTGCATTTCCTGGCTGCACTTTGCTGTAACATTCCTTTAAAGATCATGTATTTGGTGTGACATTTATGGGTCTCTCAGAGGAAAGTTTATGTTGTATTTAACAGGTTGAGACACCTGCTTGATTCCTGTCTGTGCTGATAGATGCAGCTTCAAAGCGGGGGGAAAATGAGACTAGTGGGATGATATTGTTTGTAATAAAGCTGGAGAGAAAATACAACGGCAGGGTTTCCTCCTCCATCAGGGTGAGGTTGAGTGACTGAATGGGACAAGGTTATTGGGATCAGTGCAATGACTCCTCCCTCCTTCAGTGTCCCCCACAGACTATGATGTGCAGTCTCATAAATCACTCTCTTAGGGCTGTAAACTGATGTGCATCAGTGAACTCACCTGATGCGGTGTCCAGTTAATATTATCTCCAGAATTTAGTGTTCAAATGTTACTCGGAGAGTAGTGACGCTTCTCTCACAGCTGTGTCATTTTCACTCCCCAAAATTGACATTTAAAGTAGTCTGTTGTGTATCACAGTGTGCTCTAAATAAGTATAGTTTCCAACCTTTTTTTTGTTTTCTGACCCCCTAAAATAAAGGATTGTCTACTTGTAAAATAATTTGATATTGTGAGAAATTTGAAAATGATTAGTATTCGTACAGTAAGGTTAGCATTGTAGGACTCATAATCACTCTTAAATTAATAATGGGCTATTCTAGGCTAGGATACTTAGTAGCTGTTTTGTTTTGAGGATGACCCTTTAATATTATCTGCATGATAACTGTAGTTATTGAACTCCAAATAAACTGCAGTCATGAATGCTCCAGAAAACACATATTCAGTGTTGTACATAGTAATGTCTTCAATTCATAGCACTACAATTCTCCAACTCTGTATTTAAATGTGTCTTTGACATCGGTACTGCAACTAACACTTATTTTCATTATAAATTAATCTGCTGATTCTTTTCTCGATTCATTGATGCACTATTTAATCTTCAAAATGTTTGAAAAATACTGAAACATATTCATCTTCATAGAGCCTGAGGTGACATCTGCAAATAGCTTGTTTTATCCAACCAACTGTCCAAAAGCTGATCGAGCTGTTTTATAGGGACTTCTTCTGCTCTCTAGTATTTTATGTTCTGTGATTTCACCAGAGGCTTGTTGGAAAGTTACAGCTATACTTTAATACTTTTTATGGTGCTCTCGTAAAAGTTATAATAACATTGCTATGTGTCTTGAATTTCAAATCGACTATAGTCATGACTGCTACTGCAGACAGGGACGTAATTATTTGTAGATTGTGCAGGCGTTCTCCACCCACATCTTGCTCTTACCTCTTTTTTTATTTTACTTTCTAAGAATTCAAAACTGTCTTTTGCCTTATTTACAGTGAAAGTGTTTAAAACTAAATAAATCCCCTTTAAAAACACAAAAAAAAGACAAAGTCTGGACTTTCAAATAGACACACAATCAAGCATTTTTATTCCAGTACCTTTCAGTTCAAAGTCCTGTCTGCATTTTTAGTGTCACGTACAGGTGAAGGAAAACAACACAACATCACACAGAGCATGCCTGCAAAAAAAAAAGAAAAGTTTTCACGATGGACTCACAACACAGAGAAAGATTAGCGAGGGAACAAAAACACTGTTGTTTTCAGGTCGGCCTGACCGTGCTAAGACCAATTTAATCATTTAAGCATTTTAATGACAAACGCACAAGACGAGACAGAACTATAAATCTCACACAGCTTTCCATCAGTAATGCTAACTACACAGTTTCTTTCCATTCCTCTAATTAGCAACATGACATTGATTAGGTTCAGTTGGAGGGAAACTCCTTCCAGGCGTGTCTGTGTCGCTGTCAGATCTGCATCTCTCTGCATCTTTTTCAAAATGTTTTTCTTCTTGATGCCATTCTGGTGAGAGTTGATTCAAGTAGTCAAAGGTTGTTGTGTGTGTTCGTACAGTCTCATTGGAGAGAGAGAGAGAGAGAGAGAGAGAGAGAGAGATCCTGAATCAGCAGTGGGCCCCTGGCTGTGTATTGAAGCAGACTGGGCGTCATGTTGGTGCAGGATACAGGATCCAGGCTCAGTCGTGCTGCTGAGACACAGCTACAGCTTGAACCACTGCCTGGCTACAGAAACTAAGCTGACGTTAGTGCAACATTAGTACACCAGGCCAAGCCTTTATTTTCCCCTAATACAGATATGTATAAAGTTTGACCTATATTCCTTCACTGTCACAACATACACGTTTAAAGTACAATCAGCACACACAGAGATTAACGTTTTCAACTCCCAACAAGTCGTTTGATGAAGTTGTGTCTTTTTGTGGGACTGTAGAAACAAAGGGGCCGTTTCTGTTCAGGTTGTTGCCATATGTTACCGGGGGGGGGCATAACAAAGACAAACTAGCATCACAGTCCTTATTTTAAAAAGTGTATTCACATGATCTGGCATAATGTGGGTCACAGAGGTCTGCTCAATGTTTCAGTGCCTTGTTTACGGTGTCATGCTTAACGGAAGGAGCCCGTTTGAATTAGAAACACATATGTACAGCAATAGACATTTGTGTATAATTAAGGAAAACCTGATCAAATATTTGCACCGCCGCAGTTTCTGCAAGAGGCCTGCGTCAGGGACTTGAAGGCGTTACAGTAAAGACTTAACATTAAGAATAATAATGTTGAGAAAAAAAATAATGAAAAAGACTCTGCTGCGGTCAGGTGAAAAAGTTGCATCTTCGAAATGTCTTTCTAAAGAAGAATACTTTGTTAAATTTGCTCTTCCTGCAGTGGCTTGTATCAGCCTGCAGACTGAGGGGAATGCATGAAAACAACCATGATTTTAACTGCAATGTTTTTAACCCGGCCGACAACATCAGAAACCCCAAAGTTGCTTTGTCTTAATGGTCGCTGAAGACACTCCGTGATGTTTATCGTGTCCACGGTGACAGCAGTGTCATCGTGATCTACTGTGTCTCTGTGCTGTTGCCACTGGCAACAGTTTTTTATTTTAACAGGGCAGGTCTGAGGCTTCCTGCAGCCGGTGGGAATTTTCACACAACTCCGGTTTGTTTATCTGAGCCCAAATATTTTAAACAGTCACAATGGCAATTTGTTTACAGGCAACATTGTCGTGTTTAACATTGACTGTTTTGTTGCTTTAGTCTGGCTAAGAGCTCTCATGCCGTCATCCGCCACTGGTGGAACGGTGTGGCCGTGGTCACGGTGAACCTAAGGAAACATAGATAGGATGAGTGAGACTGGTCTGATGTCAGGCGCTATCCCTTCAGCTGCCTCCTGTAAACAAAAGGGAACGAGGGGAGTGAAAGCAGGGAGGCTGGCGATGTGGTGCAGCTCTGCCTGAGCTCTTCCGGGGCGTGGCTCGAGAGTAGAGAATAAAATGTCCTGTGCCGTAGTAAACACAACCACGTATTCATGTATCTCATGGACATGCTTCTGCGAGTGGGTGGCTCTTTGTGCCTTTAAAACATTCTGAGCAATAGTAGAGGGTGCCGCTTTCTACCGGTCTCGGTTCTATTTCTAAGAAATAATCGGAAATGTCAACAAATCTTTGCTTGTCTGGAATAACATTGTTTCTGTGTAGCCTTCTATTTTTCTATCAAAGCTATTTTTGACCATCGAGCATGTGAAATTACAGCAGAGGTTTCTGTAGGTTTGACTCTCCTCTGCGGATCAGTCCACTCTCTCTCTCACCATGCTGTTATTCTTCATTTAACCCCCCCCTATCATGTTCAAACATCTGCTTTACACTCTCAGCGCTTCTCAGCCCAACACGTTCACTATCCATCTTGCACACTAATCCCTCTACACCTCCTCTGACCATGAAACACTTTGCCTGTACGCTTATTCACACACGGGGGCCGGTGAGAGAGAGAGAGAGAAGAGACACACCCTGCCGTTGTTGCATTTTCACGTCTTTTGCTCTATTCGGATTTGGCCCTAATTGTCGTTTTTGTTTCTTAATATTTATCAAAGGCACGGCGCTCTTTATCTTGGCTGTTTTGTGCAGATCCGGCACAGGACAGGACGTCTCCCCCGACAGTCCAGGACGATAAACAACAGCACTGGCTGGTGGTTACACAATGCTGCGGCCAGTGAGGAGTCTGCCTGTGTCATCTGATCCTGCCGGCTATGCCAAGACTAAAGAGAGGGACAGGAAGAGGCAGAGAGAGATAGGAGTCGGGGGGGGGGGGGGGGAGAAAGTGAAAGCTGAGGGGTTTAATATGAAACGTTGTGTGTTTAGATTCTGTGTCACTGCTGATAAATGTAGTTTGGGTTATCCTAGGCGGTGCTGAGGATCAAACACACTTGTGTAAGTACAGTAGAAGGGTGAGAAAGGAGAACAAGAGGGCCTTTTGAAGAGAGCTGAGAGTGGGCTTGGCGGGGATCCAGCCTGAGTGAGAGGGGGCACAAAAGAAGCTTGTCAGAAGGCCTTGCAGTTGTTTTTCAGTGTCAAATCGTACCAAGAGAATTTCGCTATTCCACTCCATTCATTTGCATTTGAGGCACGCCAGCAATTCCCCTTCAGATCAAAAGGACTTCAGTTAATTTAAAATAATCTGCTGTAATGTTTCTCTCGAGATAACGCTGCCATTCTATCAGGTCAGAGAGGCCTTTTGCAACAGTCAACCGTCTGCTCTTCTGATTTGAAATGCTATTACATCAACAAACAGGTAGCTGTTATTTAGTGGTTCTCATACTGGGCCCTGGGAACCTCTGGGGGCACTTGGTGGTTTTCCAAGGGCTTGGTACTCTGCATAATGAGGAATCGCTTGGTTTCATAAATGTTTCCGTCATCGGACGTCTTCGCAAATTTGACCAGATTTGATGTTTCTCTACGCGCTCTTTATCTTGAGTTTCCGACAGAATAGAACAATTCTCCACAAAATCAGATCCAACAAAACTTTCTTGAGACAAAGTCACGTAAGAGGAGTTCCTGCGCTCTAGCAGATCCCTTTGAGAAGGTTAAATGTGCTTACTGGCAAACAGAGCACACAAAATCCTTGAGCTTCATTATACCTTGCAACCTGACTGACCTACTTGGTTTTTGCAGAAAACATTATGAGACAGAATTGTGATGCCACTGACCTGTTTCCTTGATAAATCCGGCATGACCAAAAACAAGTCAACGGTCCAACGGTAAATCTAATCCAGTTTGGGCTCTCAGTTGGAACAGACCCTGTGCAGATGCTGTAGTGGTGTCCAAATGTTCTCTGTGATGGTGCTTCTTTCTTCTTCTTTCTTGTGACATTTTGTGCCAATCCCCCCAGCCCTCGACGAGGTCCCTTCTCATCTAGAGCGTCTTGCGTTTGGGGAAGAGGGCTTTCCGAAAAGAGGTGGTGGTGGAGCCTCTGCTGAAGGAGGCGCTCCCCAGGGCGATCTTGGTCTTTCCACTGGTGATGGTGGAGGAGCCCAAAGATGTTGTTTTCTTGCCCCTGGTGATGGAGGAGCCCCCCATGGCAATCTTGGACTTTCCCCTTTTTATGGTGGTGTTGCCCAAGGTTAAGGCCGTCTTCCCCTCGGTGAAACTGGTGTTGCCCATTGAGGAGAGACTCGTCTTCCTGACCCAGATTCGTCGACGGGATTCGGGGCTCACTCGACGCAAAGCATCGCACACTCATGCAGCACGTCCTGCTCTGGCCCTCGGGGGTGATAGTTACATCTGCTACAATCCAGAGAAGACCAGAATGCTAAGCGTGGATAGCACGACCCCCGTGTCGCATAATGCCTTCGTTGAGATGATCAACGTGGGCTCTGGAAGGCCACATACCACCCATGTGTCCCTGTGAATGGACAGAGGCAGCCGTAGGTGGCCACAGCCTATCTGAGGGGACGGGGACAGTGGAGCGATTGTCCCATCTCCACGACGACACCGGACGGTTGAAGGACACATTGTTGCAAAGGGGGCAATCTGTGGTGACATCACTTTCTTCTGAGCCATTGTTCCCTATAGCCTCTGATTGTAGGACATAGCCTCTGTGTACCACTGTATGTACCATATGTGAAATGAGTGGCGCAGTGTCACATTTGAGAAGAGAAAAGATGAATGTGTTTTAATGTTTTCCGCCTGTAGTTTCGGCTTTGATTGCACCTCTCCTATATTTGTATCGTGCCTCCATTTGAAACATGGGTGTGGTTCCTTTAGTTGGTGTTTACGACCCAAATGTGTCCTTGCTGAACTGTTTGCAACAAATTACAGCAATTAAGTCTTTAATTTCTCCCATTTATGTCGTTTAGATCCTATAGTATCTCTCAAAAAACTGAATTTACAAAACAATCAAGCCAAGCAGTGTTTAGGCATGTTACTTTTATAAGCATTGTTAAATCAACCAGCTTTACAGTTTCCTATTTTAAAACTGTGTTTTCTGGTGGACATACGGCAGCATAGTTATGGAAATTGCAGGCAATCAACCAATCTTATTGGAGTGCACAAAAATACCACATTTGTACCAAAGATGTAGACATGGTGATGACTGTACATGCACAACATACAGGAGAACAGTGCTGGTGTAAAACACACACTCTCTTGTGTCCCTCCACATACATCCCACACGGCTGTTTCACGCCTTCCCTCCCTGCCAAGTAGACACACCATAAGCTGTCATCTCATCGCCGTCACATTTGCATAACACGCTCAGCATGGCTTTGGAAGATCTCACTCATGATTGCAAACCCCATTAGATGTGCAACGCACTTTTGGCCAACAGGTAACAGATGGATGTTATGCCACGTTAACATGTACGCACATTGATCACAAAAATAGCTGCTCTTTTCTTTTTTGTTGTTGACTCTTTACTACTACTGACCTGCTAAAAATGACCAGATAGAAATATCCTTGGGTTTTTAAGTGTGTGCAGGAATCATGTGTGAAAATCCCAGTAGATGTTGCTGTGCGTTTCTGTGCCCCTGATGAGGGTGGTTTTGGACACAGACACAGACTTGGTCCCATGGGCGAAGGTCAGCGTGGTGAGAGAGCTTGTGGTCTCCCCTCGTGTAACAGAGGTTTTGCCGAACGCTATGTGGATGTTGCCCAAAGTTACAGTGGTTCTGCTCCAGGAGATCGAGAATTTACCCCAGGAGATGGCGTACTTAGTCCTCAGGATCGAAACCCTGCCTTTGGTGAAGGAGGTCTTGCTTGACAGGAATGTGGTTTTCCACTCATTGTTAGCGTCTTTTTTGGACAGCTTGGCTCCCTTGGGTGTCTTAGCCCCGGCTTCAGGGTTCCTGTCCATCTAGATGTTCCTGCGCTTGGACATCAAGGCTTTGCCAAACGATGTGGTTGTGGTTCCCCGGCTGAAGCTGGCCCGTCCCAGAGCCACTGTCGTCTTTTGCCTTTGGATGGTGGACTCTCCCATGGAGGTGGTGGTCACTCCCCTGAAGATGGAGGAGTTGCCCATGGCTACAGTCGTCTTTCCCCTGGCTATGGAGGTGCTTCCCACTGCCAGGGCAGTCTTGCCCTCGGTGATGCTAGTGTTGCCCATCGAAGCGGAGGCAGTCAGCACCGTGCCTGAATGCCGGCTCCTAACATGCAAGCTGCATTACTGCCCTGGTCAAAAGCCAAACTAAAGCTGCGGCAGCGGTTGCCCTAAATAGATCACACCACCGTGTATAGATGAGGGAGGAGGGAATTATTTGATCATGCTTTGATGCTGGCCGGTCCCTCAGAGAGACGAGACCCAAAGGGACCTGGAAGCACAGCATGCACAAAGGCTGAGAGGACAGGGGGTTAATTGTATTGTTTTCATGATAACACTGCCAAAGTACTGAAGGGGTACATTGTGCAGTACACAAGACAATTGGGGTGACCTCAGTATGATAAGATGGCGTGGTTCCCAAAAAAGAAAAGAAAAAAAGCTCCACTTGGCTATTGTTGCAGGGTTCAAATACAGTAGTGCATTTGTCTGCTTGGGTACAGTACGCGGCGGCATTTCAGCGGCTTGTGAAGAATAGACATGCGAAGTTCAATGTTTTTCCCCCATTGCATTGTTTTTCTAATTCCTCCTTCTCTGTGTGCTTCTATTTCAGATTCTCTGTCAAGACCCTCCTAGAAAAGTACACAGCAGAGCCCATAGACGACTCAGCCGAGGAGTTTATTAACTTTGCCGCCATTTTAGAGCACATCCTCAGCCACCGCTTCAAAGGTAACACTGCAGGTAACATATAGCACAGGACAAGATGGACAAGTCAGTTAAAATGACTCGGTTTGTAGCAGTAAAACTTAAATATTTAATATAAAACTGGCATATGAATCTACTGCATAGATTACACTGCAAACATTAAGCATGGAAACCAAAAAAAACCTGCATGATTATACAGTTAGCTGCACTGTAATGGCCGTTGCATGCTCGCAGTGTGGGTCGTTGTTATAGCAGAAGTGCTTCATTGCTGTGCTTTAATCTTGGACCAGGTTCGGGAAGCTGGTTCAGCTCAGATGGACAGCGAAGCTTCTGGGAATACATCCGGCTGGCGTGCAGCAGGGTGCAGAACAACTGCATCGCCAGCATTGAAAACATAGAAAACATCAGCACATCACGAGCAAAGGCAAGGGTATTTGTATGCAGAATTGTGTGAGAGTGTTATTTGTGGGTGGGACATTGCAAGAGAGAGCAGCAAAGAATGCCCTCTGTTCCTACTCACTTCTTACGTTGTCCTACAGGGGCGCGCGTGGATTCGAGTGGCGCTGATGGAGAAACGTCTGTCTGAATATGTGTCCACTGCTCTGAGGGACACAAGAACTACCAGGTCAGACTAATGATTTAAAAAAAAAGGGACAATAACCAAATTCTTATTTTGAAATATTTTAGTTTTGAATTGATTCTGAGCTCACCAGAGGAAAGTACACAGAAAGTACTACGGATGTTTAACATTAAACGTACTGTAAAATGCAGGTAGAGTCACAGTTGTGTGTCGGTAACGTATCTTGAAGAGATGATAACCACCTCTTCACCTGACAGGAGGTTCTATGATGATGGGGCCATTATGCTGAGAGAAGAGGCCCAGGTCCTGACTGGCATGCTGATTGGACTGAGTGCCATTGACTTCAGGTTAAGACACACGCTGCAGACTCTGATATACAGAGGTTTTAGATATATAAGCACAAACCCCAAATCAACACAGTTCGGTGGTATATATTTGTAAGCTATTTTAAGAACCTCTTCTGTCCCGTTCCGTTGTTTTTAGCCCCAGTATTTAGGAATTAATAAGTCCTGACGTGGGTTTGAGTATAGCATATTCTACTTTAGGAGTACAGATTAACAGATTATACAGAAATAATTAGAATCAGAATAATATTTAATGGCCAAGTATGTGTGAACACATACAAGGAATTTGACTTTAGTATTTTGCTGCTCTCAATGTACATGCACAGAAATATACATATGACTAAAAACAGGGACAACGAAGCTGAACAAGATAAACATATTTCAAATGATTGATATGGAGTAGATATGGAGTTGTCTTATATTTCGTAGTGTATATAAAATAATATTGTTTGTTGTCTCTATGCAGTTTTTGCTTGAAGGGGGAGACTCTGGATGGGAAATCCTCAGCTGTGATTGACTTCACACCCTACCTGAAGTTCACCCAGAGGTGAGACTGATCCTGTCACTCCAAGTTTGGCATCACATTTGTGTGCACGTGTGCCACTGCAACACTGTCGCCTCTCTGCTGTGTAGCTACGACTACCTGAGTGATGAGGAGGACCGTCGCAGCGTGGACAGCAGTAACAGCGAGGAGAGTGTCCCCGAGCACCCCTACATCCCTCTGGTGACCGACGAGGAGAGCTGGAGCAACAAGTGTCGCAAGATGGAGCAGAGGTTTAAGATCGTCTATGCCCAGAAGGTGACACCCAACAGCTGCTAGAACCAAAGTTAATGCTGTTTAAATTCCTGTTTTTCACTGTAAACTTCTACGCACACAAAACCCCGTCTCCTTACTGTCATGTTGCAGGGTTATCTGGAGGAGCTGGTGCGCCTGCGAGAGTCGCAGCTGAAGAACGTGGAGACGGAGAATAAGCTTCTGAGAGCAAAGGTGGAGGAGCAGACAGCCCAGAGCCAACAGGAGAAGAAGGAGCTGGAGGCCGTCGTGCTCGAGCTGCAGGCACAACTGTGAGGAACACACAAGAACTTTAAGATTCTGTTCTTCAAATGAAAAAAGCTTCAACTGTAGGATTCATTCACGGGTTCAAGGATCATTTATTGTCATTATGCAACACAGAGATGCACAATGATATTCAGTTGTAGCCCGTTTGTAACGCAACAAACACATGACAAACAAAACAAAACAAAAACAGTAGCACATTCCTGGAGTGCTTTTTTTATTTATTTATTTGCATCATAAGGAATGTAAACAGCAGCAACAAAAAAAATTCTCTGGGCAGATAAGATGGCCGACATCTCCACATTAATAATTCAACATGAGGAAAATATAAGCGTGGGCTCCAGTCGTCATCACCCAAGATCCTGTTGGGATTACATTTATTTATTTATTTCTTCTTTCCAGCATTATAGTGTGTGCATGTTCATCAGGGGTTAGAAGAAGAGTTCAAGTTGTTATTTTGAATTAAATTAATTATTGCTCTCCTAATCTACTGAATGTAACAAGGCATTTTTCTTCAAAGAAGATAAAAAGAAACTGAGAATGTATTGCAGATGCAATTTCTGATTTATGGCAGTTTATAATACAATACTCATTGAGAGGCTACATATTTATTCTGTGTTGAATTTAAGACTATGTTTCAGGAAGTAGAGTGATACTAATGATTAAAAGTGGCTCATTGAAATTTACAAGAGATGGGTGATTTTCTTTTTTCGCCACTTTGGATGTTCAGGTTCATATTTGATTTCTGAAATGAAAAGTATCACTTCTGAATTGACGTATTTGTACTCTGTGCTTCCTGCAGCTCTGCCCTCATGCCCTGTGATTCCTCCCATCTGGCTAAAGATCTTTCCATCCCGCTGGTCAACCAGTGGTCCGTAATCACAAACAACCAGGGCGATGTCAAGCTTTTCCGCAGGTAAACTTACTTGAACAGTATGTTTCTATTTTTTACTTGTTTGTATTCATACAAACAAATAAAATGATGCAATTATTGTACAGAACTTCAGATATTTGTGCCATAATGATGTTTTCGTGCATCCAGGAGGAGCTTCCACAGTTTGGAGCAACTTTCTGTTGAAGTCAGTCTGAACTCTGACTCCCAGGAGACCGATGGGAGACTGAACGGAGATGTTGCTTGGACTTCAACAAGTACAAATGCTTTTCACTGCTACTACATTCATCCCAACATGTTCACCACAACATTTAAACCTGCAGTTTTGCTGTACTTTAGCCATTTTATGCAATATTCCTAAGTAGCTAAGTACATTTTGACTTAGCACCATTTGACTTGAAGGCAGTAGTAAAGTAACAACATTTCTGCTCGAGTAGGAATATATTAGCTGTCTCTCCACTGCTGCATAAAAGCCTTTCAGAGGCAGCCACCCATGCACATGTACATACATGCTCATACAAAGGCAGGCTTGATGGCTGTTCATGGTGTTTCATGTGGGCAGCTTGAAGTATGCACGATCTGAGGCTCATTTTTATTCTGCTTTTTCTCTGTTTCGTCCCTGTAGGAAAAGACAATACTCCCTCCATGCTGGGTCTGTGTGGCTCTCTGGGCTCTCTACCAAGCTCCAAGTCCCTGGCCAGCCTCAAGTCCAGCGAGTGTTTGGTCAACATCAGCACTGATCCCAGCCCTGCGCTCAGCCCTGCCCTCACTCCCAGCTAGGGAGCTCCAGACCAACAACAGAGATTGAACCCCCTCCGCCTGTCTGCCTGGTGATGCTGCGTTGACCACAAACCCGACGAAAAACCCTGCTTCTACAATCCACCAAGGCCATCCATAGCTCCAGAACAGGGAAGTCATGACACCATCTCTGGACTTTTGTACACATGAGAGTGAAGTCATCATGAAGCTGAAAGGATCCATCATTTTTTGGTTCTTTCCCTTCTCCTCGCCTTATCCGCTCAGCTCCTCTCAATCACTCTGCCACAACCACTTTGTACTATCTGTGATTCCCTTCATCCAAGATCATGCAATCCCTCTGCAAACTCCCATCAGACCTTTCTCCAAAGCATCCATTTTATTTCCTTAAATAGTACTCCCATCTTGCTCCTTATTTGAATATCAGCAGTGTGTTTGTGCGCCTGCTTTACTTTATTTTGTTCAAAAAGTGACCAAAACAGCACTTGCAGCTCTTTGGATGCAGCCACTTGCAAAGAGAGATGAGATGATCATTTTAAGAGATACAGATTATCCATATAAAAGGTAGAGGATGTGTTTTTACAGACTGTCTCCACAGTGACATAGCACTGAGAAGTATGTTTTATGGATGTGACTGATCTGGGATAATTCCTGCTTGAGCAATCAAACAGTGTTTAAATCTGTGCAGGTATTTATTGAATCGATCCAATATTAAGCTACCGCATATGATCACTTATCTGATTTTATCCAATGCAGCAGTATTGTTTTTTTTACATGTATACTTTGATTTATTTCTGGTTTGGTTTGTGTTGCAATAAACTGCCTTTTTCCATTATGTGTGTCTGTTTGTGTCGATCACAACTTTGTGTGGAGAGTCACAGGGAAACCAGACCCCCAAAAAAAAGGTTTCAAAACAGGAAGTCAATGGAGATGTTGGATCAAGCAGCCGGTTGCTTGGGACACATGTGCTCTGGCACCATCTTGTGGTTTAACGTTATCAGGGGTAACATAATGCATAAATGCCCAAAATGCTTGTTAATTCTTAAGAACAACCTGAGGGTCTTACAGGGAAACATATGGGTGGCTAAATTATAAAGATAAGATAAATCCTACTTTAACAAGCTATGCCAGGTTGGACAAATGATTCCTCCAGATGGATACAGAATATTCTTTTCACCCATCCTGCTGAAGTGTCCATTTCCAAGATGCTGAAGCCCCGACCACCTGCATGGCTGCTCTATATACAGTAGTTTTACTGCAGACCGTGAGCCTCTGTTTGGTTCCTATGCTGTGTCTGTGCTTTCTCTCGCCAAGGCTGCAGACCTGATTGGAGAGTAATCAGCAGCATTGGACACACCTGGTTCCACGATGCATAAAAAGCCTGAGCAGCAGAAGTCAGCTGTTGGCGTATTTCTCTCACCGCTCATCGCTGTGTTGAGGTGTTTGGGTATTATTTTCCTTGTTTTTGCAGCACATTGTCCTGCATCTACATCATTTCTCCTCATGTCATTTTACATGATGAACCTACACATACAGTATGTCGTACGTCTTTTTTATGAGAACAATGAAAGAAATACAAACATGGGGCTGGATAGAAAGCTGTTTCCTTAAAGCCTTTTGGTCATTATGTAAGCAATTCCTTTATCTATACAGTTTGTTTGATTTGTGTTTGTGGCTCATCTAGCTAATATTTAACTAATATACATCAAAGTATTATTGAATAATGCAGATGAGGTTTGTTTTATTGCACTCATTATTGTGCACTCTGCGTTGTTTTAATTATGTTAGTAACTTAATACAGTTTAGGCCTTTTTGTGATTAATTTTGCAGCAATGGTAATAAATCTAAGATAACAACATTGTTTAAAGTAGTTCAAACAGTACAAAAAACACCCGTGACTTTAATACATTAAATGTGTACATTTAGGTCTGGAAATTAGACAATAGATAATGTCATGGTATCAAACTCAATATTATTTTAATTTGTTTATTTTAATGAACATCTTGCAATGTGTTATAACTTGCTTGAAATAGCTACATCTATATGCCCTTTGAGGAAAGTGACCAGTTTCTCCGATATCATCATATATTCACAAGTCTGGACCCTCAGAGCCCCTGTAGTGACCTTTAGGGGTCCCTGAACCACACTTTGAATGGACCCAAGGGTTTGAACGTGGGTTTGAAGGATAGGAGGGGAGGGGCCATGAAAAATAAATCTCAACAAAGTGGATGGGAGCTTTAAGTTTATTTGGGGGGGGGGTCCCTTCAGAAGACAGATGGGCGTGAAGACCAATACGTGCTCAGTAGTACTCTGCAGCAACCAACCAGGTCGCCCTCCCTTGGAGTCATACTGCACGAGATAGTTGCTTCAGGTTGAGCCGAGCTGTTGTGGTGTCACTTTGCAGACAAGAGTAACAAGCATCGATGTGCGGGAGCAGCGCGTGGTCTCCGCTCGTGTCCTCCTCTCACTGCAACATGAAGGATTATTTATGAGGATGCGTTGAACCCCAAAGCTGCACTCAGCTCGTCTCTCCCTCTCTCTCTCTCTCTCTCTCTCTCTCTCTCTCTCTCTGTGTCTGCGCCTTCAACCCGAATATAAGCAAGAAAAATCATGGTCATCATCACAAAAGAAAGCTCAAGTTTGGTGCCCAACAAGAGGACGGATCGGAGTTTTGGATCATCGCCGTGGATGAACTGAATGTGGACAGAGGGGAAGTCAGCGCAGTTGCAGTGAAAGAAGTGTAGAAGGAAAAAGCAGAGCCGTGTGTGTGTGTGTGTGTGTGTGTGTGTGTGTGTGTGTGTGTGTTTTCTTAAGCGGAGCTCGGAGTGGGGGATGTTGGGTAGAAGTGGAGGAGCCCCTCGGGGGTGCAGCAACCCCAGCCTGCAGCCCCTCAGAGCCACAATCCCATACCAGCTCCAGAGGGGATCCGCTCTCCTCTGCAGGGAGGTCAAGACTGGTAAATACACACTCAGGAGGAGGAGGAGGAGGAGGAGGAGGAGGAGGGGTGTTGAGGCTGCATTCACCTCCATGTGGTCCAGTGTTCTAAAGTTTATTTGGTGCCACTTTATGATCAATATCTGACTATATCTCAATATCAATATCTGAAATTATGATACCTATGGGTTTCATTTACTAAATTTATTTCTGGGGCTGCCCTGACCACTAATCAGTCTATTTGGTCGATTAACATTTCTTCATTCAATTATTTGTTTTTGTTATGCTTTTTTTTAAATGCTGAATGACTTATTTCCAAGAAACCTATGAGCACATCTCTGCTACACATAAGATGTAAAGTGGTGCTTTTAATGTGATTCTCTGTGGGAAACTCACACAAACAGCTTTACAGATCTGTCTGTCAAATCAAGTAATTGATTAGTCGACAAGAACGCGTGTGCACGTTAGTCGACTACGAATTTCCTTGCTCCAGGCCTGCCCTTTTTCTGTATTGTATCACAAAAGAAAGTAGACTCTAAAAGATTAATCAACACAGACAATTAATCAGCAACTATTTTGACAACGCATTAATCGCTTAAGTCGTTTTTCAAGTAAACATTTTGCTTGTTCCAGCTTCTACCGTGTGAGGATGTGCTGCTTCTCACTGTGTTCGATCATTGTGAATGCAAAATGTTTAGGTTTTTGGACAAAAACTACTGTGATGGACACCGATTGATAATTCGAGAAATTGATCAGCAGATTAATCAATAATGCAAATAATAGTCAGTTAGTTGCAGCCCGAAAGGAAAGCAATGCAGCAACAGTCCTCAGGTACTCACAAGATTAAATGAAAAAACAGTGTTGATGAAGCCGTTTTGAATGAGTAAGTCCTTACATTTGAACTTAATTCATTCACAACATATGATTTAAGAAAAGTAAAGCAAAAAACAGGCTTGATTTCAAAACTACAATGGTTCTGTGTAAAGGAAAGGGCCATGCTTCTCGTACTAATTCAGGGAGCCATTGACTAACTGAACAATGAAGGCTTTTAACCCTGAAACATAACACTGCTCTCATAATGTTATTTGGACACCTAAGTCGCCTCTTTGCACTCTGACCTGTGGGATCTCTGCTTCAGGCCAACGCAGCAGCCGCTTTAAGAGCCTCTCTATTTGACTTTAACTGTAACTGTGCCAGTCACATCTGCATGTAGTGGTGTTTATTTATACATTCAGTCTGCCCTGCAACATGACAACATACTGCGTGTGTGTGTGTGTTGCTGGTGGTAGATGTACTTGTAGCCTGTGGTGACTGTTGCCAGTGTTGTGTAGTTGGATGGCTTTGTTCCAGGTCAAAGGCATAGTCCACACCTGCCAGAGATTACAAATAGCTAACATGCACACACACACACACACGCACACACATAACTCTACACACTGCATGCTTACTGGTGGGGAGGAAGCCTGGGAACAATCTTGTGAACAGCTACCACTGGTGTTGAAATACTGTTTAGCCTCTGGGAGATTTTAATACACAAATATGTCACATGCAGTGTTGTGAGCTAAACGTGATCACACACACATGAGTTTTTTTTAACTTCTGCAAGACCGACATTGTTCTGACACGTGCTGAGTTCAGGCTTGCGTGGCACAGACATGATCACTGACTTAATGTGCTTTTGTTTATGTTCCCAAAAGCTGACAGGACCACGGCTCGCCCGCCGAAACCCACCATCCGCCGAACTCTGTCTTTGGACGCCATCGTCGGACCCTATCTGCACGGCCACTGGCCCAAAGAGGCAGAGAGCCCGGCTGTTACCTGTGTCAATGACAAGGCCACGCAGGTGAATATTACTATATCATGACACGGTCAAAGGAGTGGTGACGACTCGGTGTAATTACTGTTATTTAACAAAACTGGGCCTAGGTGAGTAGCAGACTGTTATACCAGTACTACTGAGAACATGTTACCCATAAAACTTGTTGCTGCATGTTGCAGGAAAAAAAAAAAAAAAAGCATGCAGGACACCAAATATTTTCTCTGCCTTGCTCTTCTTGTATGTGAAGGATTTCTATAGAGAACAAGATATCTGATGTTGGCTCTGCAGGTGTCTGGTGGTTCCAGTTCGACGCTGCGGGTGGAAGGCAGCCAACTGGAAATAGTCGTTTTTTTGTTCTTCTTTAAAATCCACTGTTCTTCCCTCGCTCCCCCCTCGACTGTATCTGCTCCTAACTAGTGCACAAAAGCCCCGACTAACATCACCAAGCTCCCCAGCTTCGTCTTCGCCTATGACACAGTTTAAACCCTAAATAACCCCCCTTTGCCTCCATTGTGAGGAACAAACCCCTCCTGACCTCATTATACAGACACCCCATCCCCCAGCACTCTCCTCAACCACACACACACACCCAACCACCAGCACCTCCTTCTGCCACACTCTTCAGATGATATAGCTCATTGTTTGTTTCCTTCCTCATTGAGCGTCACTTTTCTGCAAATTGTACAAAAAAAGTTCTGTGATGTGAATTTCTATTTCTGTAGATTTTAAAAAACAGTAGGTTATAGTCTGTCATGACAAACATGTGGTCAATCCCACTTGGGATTACAAGACACGATCAAACATACATCTGCCATTAACACGTAAAATGGAAAGAAATAATAACATACTTCCAAAAAACATACGTGCAAGATTTTTCTTATACATTTTACACTGAATAACAATAATACATGTAGTTAACCGCCTTTAACTATGCTGTAATTCTACAGATATGTGCAACAGATGGGCATGCATGTGTGTGGACAAATAACAACCTTCGTAATACAAAGCAACCCAATAACAACACTAAATATCACCACAAAATTGGGGTCAACACAGTCTAAAAAAACAAGTGTAGTGTTGGTTTCAGGTTCAGTAGATTACATTTCAATGTTCAAAGTTGTTCCTGTTGAATGCTGAAATAATGAATCAATAAATCTGTTTGTTAAGCGAAAGAAAATAATCGTCAAGATCTTTGATAACCAAGTAAATGTATAAGGTGTTTATCAAGCAAAAATGCTAAATGTTCTCTGCCTCCAGCCTTCCAAATGTGAGGATTTGCCGCTTCTCTGTTTGATATAATTGTAAGTTGAATAGTATTTGGTTTTGGACTGTTGATCCTAAAAAAAATTAGCACTATGAGTCGCCCAAAGTGGAAACACTAGCCAGACCAAATGTTCTGCTACCTTTTTGAGTCTGTTTATAGATTTGAGTCCCATGACCCCCCTGTTCATATTTTGGCCAGGGTGGGGTTGTTGGTGTTGAATGATTGGGGGGGGGTTGGCAGCTGTAACTCTACACCGATGTCACTGTATGACTGACTCATGCCGCGTTCAGACTTATATAGCCGGGCGATGCACTACGTCTGAGTGGACTGGACAGGACAAGATGGTGTCTGTGTTTTCCTGCAGGCAGTTAAGGCACCAGTGAGATTTCTCTGAGTTGTGAGGCCGACACCTGAAGAACAAGTCAGGTATTTCGAGGACGGAAAATCATGACATAGCCGTACTGCAGACAGAGAAAGCTAAATGTGTAACGCTAGCTGCCTTATGATTATGAATGGCATAGATGCCGGTGAGGGGCCAGTGAGCGTGTGAAGCAGTTGACTAGAGGCACCAGAACTGTGAATATCTTTTCCTGTGGGTCAACTCAACCTGGGTTTCACCTGGTGAGGATGAACTGCCAATCGTCTGCTCCCAACCAACGGCCGGGAGCGGTCAACCCGGCGCCCTCTGGTAGAAAATCAAGAGTCCATGTGAAGAAATTGGTACGAGCATATGAGTGAAAGTTTGACGTTAAGGAGTTGTGACTGAGAAAAGAAGAAGTGCACAAAGAAGGCTCTGTGTTTTCTGTTTGTCTTAGTTGTGTTTTCTCCACAGTACGTGACTTTGTGAATAACAATGTTATGTGTGATAGTGTGCGTGCGTGTAAGTGCACTGAGGTGTAAAACGCTGATACTTGCACTGTATTTATAGTCTTCACTGTGATGTGGTTTGGATTTGTGTGGAAGCCGAGCTGTTTTGCAGCTCTGGGTGGTTTTTCTCGTTGCTTCCCTCCTTACAGCTGTTGTGGAGCAGGTGTGCAAGACAGCTGTGGGGCTTTTCTTCTGTGCTGTACTCTTAAGTTTTAGTGTTTATTGAAAGTGCACTGGGTTTAACAGAAAATAAGTAAGAGGCCTCCAAAAAGGCTGAATTGCTTCCCAAAAAAAAGGCCATTTTATACCACAGCCCCCCAAATACAGGACTCTTTATTCACCATGCTGTAATAATATTTTTTTTTCAAAGACTCCAAATTCCTGGGCAGAGGAGACCCGAGGAAGGAGAAGCGCCGGCAGACACAAGCGCTCGGCCTCGTGGGGCAGTGCGGAGCACCTGAGGGAGGCAAGTATCAGTTTATCACTACAGCAGTTCATTAATCAGTTTCCCTGTTATTCCCTCTTACTCACACCCTTTATTCTGCATCCTTCCATGTACTGTTTCCACCAAAACATGATCAGCTCCCCGAGGGGAAAGCGAGTAAACGCTCCCCTTTCAGAGAGAATCGTAGTGACTCCTGAATCATTTTTTTGTTTTACTCCACTCTGCCCTCAGGTCGCCAAGCTGAGGAACCAGCTGCAGAAGCGCTCCCGCCATGTTCCTCCCCCAGCAGGGTACGAGCTGCCCCACCACCCCCTGCCGGCAGGTCATGCAGCAGGTGTCACTCAGGTAGCCCTTGCTCTTTTGTGATGACAAACTGTCTTCCACAGGCAGACTACGAAGCGCTTAGTAACAGGGATGTAAAAAAAAAACCAGCGGTGCTTTTCTTAGTAACTGCTGTCATCACGTCTCCTGCGTTAATGCCATGCTGTCACAGGAAGACCATCTGAAACCAGCATATCACAGCACATCATATGGATGAAATATTCTGTCTCGTATATGTGTGTATTTTGATATTGTGTCGACTGCCCTTGACCCACGGGTTAAAAATGACCCGCCTTTGCTAAAGCCCTAAACCTAATGCGGCTTAATTGAATTTTAAAATTCAAAATTTATTTTCCATGAAGCAACAACCTGAAATTCTGGGTTTTTCCTCTTCAGAGTTCAGAAAAAAAACTTATTTGGCAACAAATTTATAATTCTTATATACCGCAAATGAGGATTTCAATTACCAAACACTAGTCTTCTCCCATTTTTAACCATTTCCCCCACCCACAAGGTGTATACATACGAATAGAATAAGATAATAGATATACAAAAATGTGCTTTCTTGTGGGGCATTTGATGAATGGTCATTTCAAATATTGTGGTAGGTAATTTCTATTTCCCTTATATTGTCCCCGAAGGCGATTAATCACCTGAACTGTACAAATCCAACACGGTGTAGGAGTGAAGGAGCTGTGGCTTTAGGTAATGCTCCCTCTTCATTTGACGTGTTTTTCTCCAGACGCTGCCTCTGATGCCGCTGAACAGACTCGCCACACGGCTGCGACGCAGTGTTGAAGGCCTCAACCTAGAGCTGGAAGAGGTGTTTGTTTCTGAGAAACCTGACAATCAGCATGAGGTTAGGCCGCTGAGCTACACTTCACAAACACTCAGGGTTAAGATTAGTAAACTAACAATTGCCTTTTCCCCTGTAAACTATCAGGTTCAGTTCTGTCGTAATAGGAAAATACTTACTTTTTCATCTCAGTTTTGATACTGAGATTGTTTTTATAACACCCTGGGGGCCACGGGGCAAAAAATACACTTTGGTCTGCTGTTGAAATTCCCTGCAAGTGCCGACAGAGCAAATCGAGCGTCACATCATCAAAGTGCCAATAGTAACACGGTTTAGTTTTCAAAACTAAAACGATTTTGACCTAATGTCTAAGCAGCTGCAAAGCACAGATTGGCAGATTGGCAATCATAAGATAACGAGCTTGTTGTCATGAAACAGCTTTGAATACAATCGTGAGGACATTGAGTCAAAAAGTCATCTTTACCCATATCGATTCTTGACAGAAGGGAAACCATACGACACTCTGTATTGTTTATTTAGCTCCTCTGACTCCTTCACTTGTTTCCTCCTGAATATTGCAGATTTTGGATATCCCAGATGGCCACAGGGCCCCTGTCCCCGTGCAGAGATGCAGCAGTGGCTCTCAGAGTGAGCCCTCCCCCGGCCCCTTGGATCTGGATCCTTCCCTCCTCTCTCCTTCTCAGTCCCCCTGTCCTCTAGATCCATCGCTTCTGTCTCCATCAAATTCCCCTTCTCCATTGAACCCATCTCTTTTGTCTCCGTCACAGTCTCCCTGTCCCATGGGAGAGCCAGGTTAGACAACCCTTCATTTTTTGTGGCGTACTGTATGCTGAGGTTTCAAACCGCAATGTATAATTTTTGTATTATTAATAAAAGTTTGGATGTTTCTGTCCTTTCTTGCAGAGCCCGTGGACTGTGAGACGGCGTGTCACGCTCCGTCGACGTCGCTCCCTTCGTTTGCGTTGGATCCTCCTCTGTTGCAGCCCTGCTCCTCCGCTCCTCGTCCCAACAAAACCTACTCCTTCCAGCGCGAGCCGCCAGAAGGCTGCGAGCGAGTACGAGTGTGCGAGGAGGCAATGTAAATTAACCTCTTTGTAGAACAAGGCATCATGCACTGATCATATATTCATGTAATCACTGTGGCTGGCCACTAGAGAGCCTCAGCCCCCCCCCCCCAATTGTTAGTTGCAGACTTAATTGCGATTATGATGTTATAAATGTGCAAAATTGCATGCAAAGTTGTGGCTCTTGGAACCCTTGATGAGCCGGTACTCTGTGGTACATACCATCCACTCTCTGCATCTCTTCAGCTCCAGATCTGCCTGTCAGGATGAGCCTCTCCTCCACCAGCCTTCCTGCCCTGACCCCAATAAAGTCAACTTCACCCCCCATGGAGGCTCCGCTTTCTGCCCTGTCAGTCTTCTGAAGCCTCTTCTGCCCTCCATGGACCTCCTCTTCCGCAGCCTGTCAGTCTCTCCGGTCACCGGCTGCCCAGGTCAGGCCTCCCCCACCAGGCACCTGGGCATGCAGTAGGTGGGCGTCTGAGCAGAGCCTCCTCTCAGGACTGAACCGCGCTGTACTGCCAGAACCCACACAAACTGGATATGGTTTATATGCCATCAGATACCTGTGGTCACATGGCTCATCACTGCTGTATGGTGCCATGATCACTGTGATCAAAATAAGAGATTTTGTGACTCATACTTTAGATTAATTTTGGCCTAAAATTCGGCTGCTTTACTGATTATCTCCACCGTCAGGAAACCATTTAGCTGACATTTACATCATCGGCACTTAGTATTCCTCCATATGGACTATGGATTAATAATGTGGAAAATGCTGAAAAGGTTTTACAGCTGAATGAGTTTTGATGTTGTTCTTTTTTATAAAACCGAATTGTTTTTTTTAGTTGTGCATCAGCGGTTCAAACAAAGTCTGAGTCTGCTCGGGATGTTTTCATTTCTAATGTCCAAATAAGTGAATTCAGAGGCAAAAACACCAAGCACGTACAACACGAGTATTACTTTCTTACTACCCTTTACTGTCTGTTGAGCAAAGAATTGTTAAGTTTAGTTTAAACTTTCAGCTTAATTTGAGTACTTAATATGTTTGTTCCTTAAATTTCAGGTTTGTTTGTTGGAAAGAAATATTTTTGGCCCAAGGTTTAATAATGGCCTACTTTTCTACAGATGTATTTCAAGGAAGATATATATATACACTATATATATATATATATATATATATATATATATATATATATATATATATATATATATTTGTGTCTTTATTAGGAGGCAGGTGATACTGTTTTTGTATTCACTGAAAGAAATCAACTTGTATTTCTGAGTATACTTTGTGGTTCATAAGCAGGAATGGATGTTTTAGTAGCTTTAATTGTCCACAGCGGGCATTGTTCTAACCAAACAAAAGCAATTTTGTCAACTTTTTTAAGAGTTTGAGTTGGCCAAGCTTTGAGTCTTTGGTCTAATGTGAGCCTCTTTGCCCCATGAGGTTCTGGCTAGAAAGCCTTAATGTGTCAATAGTCTCTTGGGATATGGAAGAGGTTGATTCCCTCTGCTTCAGTCAAATGGATGAAACTCTGTCTTTGTCAGCATGATCATATGCAACACTGAATAAAAAGAACATCCTTGTATTTTATCTGAACTGAGTATGCACCCTTTTAATACTTTAAATGTTTAGTGTGCCACTGCGAGGAAAATAAAATAACCAGATTTCCCCGGAATGTAAATACCTTCTATACTTTTTTATAATTACTGTGGTTGTTGTTGTTGCTTGCCTTTGACACGTGGATTTGCGGTTTTTAAATCGAAGCACCGCCCTTTCAACCCAAATCCGCTTTGTGATTGGTGGAGGAGAGAAAAAAAAATGATCTCTGTTGCCTTACATGGACCAATGAATTTAATCCACATCCTAGGACGACTTAAACGCACGCGACGTTTTCAAGAGAGGACCTCGTCATTTTTGTAATAGCTGCTTTAGCAACTGCCCCACGACACAACACAGCCAATGCAAGTTAATTACAATATAACAAGAACAATATCCCTTTCTGGAATGAAATTTAACTAAGTATATGTACTCTCAAGTAATGTACTTAAGTACAATGTTGTGGTACCTGTGTAATTATAATGTGTAATTACTGTAGGTTGATTTATAATAGAGAATAACGTAATAGTCTAAAATGGGCCATTCTGCATAACGAGTGCTTTCTCTTTTCGGTACTTTAATTGCATTTTTTTTTACATTGGATCTACGTGATTATAATTAGCGCACGTATGTGTTTGTTAAAGATATTATTTATTAAACTAACGATGTAATTGTTCAGGCACAGCTGTGGACACCCCTGAGGTCCTTTCATTAAACCAAATTTCCTGACGCGACCGCTTTTATCCTTTTTCCACTAATTACAGGCTTTGATTTCTCAATGAAAACACGAGCTGTGCTCTGCGGACACTATCGGTACCTATCCGGTGGGAATGTGACGGTTCATATGTTTTAATTAAGGAGACATTTAGATACATCAGAATGATACAAAACAAACAAATGACATGAAATCTGACTGCAGCTGCAGACAAGTCAAGGTACCGTTAGCGAGCTCGGACGAATTGACAGTTACCGTGCACGAGAAGGTGACAAAGGGAAACCTTTGACGTTAAACCACCCGCAGGTACGACACCTAAGCTGAACACTCGAGCACCATTTCCGGGCTCGTCACGTCGGCTATAGTGGAGCGGGACGTCGGTGTGAGGGGCGCGGGCAGCGGAGCGGTGTCGGTGAACATTCCCGGACGGCTGGAGGACAGCATGGCTGCTGGGAAGCCCGTCTCGATGTGGGACAACATGCGGATACGGTTCATCGTGTGCTTCCTCGGAGTCTTCGTGTGTTACTTTTACTACGGGATATTACAAGAGACCATGTAAGTAACTCACAGTTAGGTGACCTGTGTGGTTTATGTAACAGATGTCTTTCTGTCCTGTACCAAACTCTGTTTAACGAGCTATTATGTTAGTTTTTATTATTATTGTGTTATCTGCTATAGATAATGTACAACCAAGTGCAGCATATGTTAGTGCGTCTGTTGTGCAATCTTTACAGATTGCCCTTACCTCTACTGAAGGCAAGTCTGACATCAAATCGTCATATTTTAGGAAGAGTTTGGCGTGACATTCTGTTCATATCAGAAGTGTTGACCCCTACACCATTGAGCTGTCTCATAATAATAACAATAATAATAATAGAATAAAAGAACAAACCCAAAGTGGTTATTTGTGGTTCTCTAGAAAAAGGAGATGAAGTCAGAGGAGTCCAGTTTCTGTTGCATGTCACATACTGAGGCATGACACATGTGGTATGTTGTCGCCTGAGTCAAAGCGGACAGGGATCATATCCGCTTACAAAATGTTTGCACCCCAGCAGCAGCCCTGTTACAAACCTAAATGATTGCCCTCCATTATATATAGTTGTGTGTGTGTATATATAAACTATATATAATAATATTGACATGATTGTCCATTGAAACCAACAAGCAAGCAACACTGCTGCTCTGTGATCTGTTGCACTCGATACAGTGTTGTCTCTCTGACTCTTGCAGCACTCGAGGTGATTACAGTCAGGGAGACCAAAAGGAGAAGTTCAGATTCGCCCGGACGTTGGTCTTCATCCAGTGCGTTGTCAGTGCTCTGTTTGCTAAGATCTGTGAGTATGTGCTGTGCAGAAGAGACACAAAAACTAATAAAAATGCTTCATATGAAAACAAAAAAACCCCACCAAGATTTATTCCTGAAGCCAAATCTTCCTCTTTATCATCAGTAATCATTTTCTTTGAGGGCTCCAAGCCGGATCACACCAAGAGCTGGCTCTATGGGCTGTGCTCGCTCTCTTATCTTGGAGCCATGGTGTCCAGTAACTCCGCCCTTCAGTATATCAACTACCCCACACAGGTGAGTCTCCCCTTTTAGATAACACGATTCTCTTTAATGTATTACTGTTTGGTGATGCCTTACCCTAAAGCTATGCTTTCTTTTGTGATAGGTGTTGGGTAAATCCTGCAAGTCCATACCAGGTAAATATGTGATAGTTAGCCTTCTGCTCTCCGCCTTCATATCACCTGGTTACCTGAATGTCACACACATAATTTGTTTTTTTAATAACAGGAATTATATTATCATAGTACAAACAATTCCTTGGAGCTAGTAACATGTAATGACAATGCCCGAATATTTGGGGTTCTATACTATATGCTACAAAATCTGAAAGAGCCCAGAGTTAGTAAAAACTCAATATTGACTAACTCAGAAGCTGCCAGGTCTCATAATGCATTGTGCTCATGGTTATATTTCCCAGTGTGTTTGTAGTACTTGATAAACAAGAGAGATTCTAAATGTCTTTCTAAACTGATCAAGCAAATACCTTTCACGTTACACACACACACACACACACACACTCTCTGACACAATCCATAGTTTCCCCTCTCAGGGGTGAAGGTCTGACATTTTTGTATCCAGCGTAGGATTACCGCAAACTCGAGAGATGTCACCCTGGTTCCCATGGCTAAACAAACGTCCGTCATGCTGTTGTTGTGTTGTTGCAGTGATGATCCTTGGTGTGACAATACTGAGGAAGAAGTACCCGCTGACTAAGTATCTGTGTGTGCTGCTTATTGTGAGCGGTGTAGCGATGTTCCTCTACAAACCCAACAAGAGCTCAGCTGTTGCAGATGACCATGTTTTTGGGTTTGGAGAGATTCTGTTGGTGAGTGTTATGTTCCATCCATTTCACCTTTATTCCATTTATTGCCGATCAGTCTGTGTCTCCCTGCTGCAGCCACACTGTGACATCTCTGTGACACTGGTCTCACGGCTCGGTGTTGTGTTTTTAATCTGTGTCGCAGCTCGTCTCTCTGACATTGGACGGTTTGACTGGCGTGGCCCAGGACCACATGAGGTCTCGCTTCCAGACGAGTGCCAACCACATGATGCTGAACATCAACCTGTGGTCCACTCTGGTGCTGGGGCTAGGTGAGTCCACCGCGCTCTCTGCCAAACTCTCCTCTAGCCGAATATGTGGCGTGAGGCGCCAGGACTCGAGCATGGAAGGGATTCAGTCCAACCAAAACTACGCCCGGGCGGTTGGCCCACCTGCAGCCAGAGAGGACAAACTAATGAGCTAAATCACCTTGATATGCTTCAGTGCTGCCAAAATATGACCGAATGAAACGGAAACACTGGTGCACCGAACCCCCTGTTGCAAAGCACATTGTCAGAGAAAAGGATGAAAGCAAAGGTTTAAAGCATTTCTTTTGGTACATTAATGGATTTTTGTAACACTATAGTGGTCATTTATACACAACATGCTGGTCTCCATGAGCTGCTTGTTCACAAGATGTAGTATCAACAGCTCAATTATATCATCACTGTTGGTGTAATGTGCTGTAAAATGTCATTGTTGATTTGTAGTCACAGTACATTCAGGGCAGATAGCTGCTGGCATAAAGTAGCTAATGGCGATCCAAATAAGTGCAAAAACTCAAACCGAAACCAACAATAGCTGCGTTAGAGGCTCTTTAAAAAAAAAAAAAATGTGATCACTTTTCTCCCAAGAGCCAAAACTCATTAATTCAGTCAAGGCGAAAGCGTTCAGTGTTATCTTTTTAGATAAGGAATCCTGCACCTCAAAGCCTGCAGTTCTGTGAGGAGGTCGCTGTGATATACTGAAGAGTAAGGCACATAAAACAAATGCAACACAACGAGAGGCTCGCGAAGGTGAGGCACTAATGGGCTGAAAGATAAAGATCAGAAGGTCAAAGCCGGTATGAGAACTGACTGTTATCATTCCCACCATATTAATTGGTAGCGTCTGCTATCTCTTAGTAAGTGTCCATCTCTCCTGCACACATGCTGCACACTTTCACATTACAGGCCGTATCACATTAAAAGAAAATCTATATTTAAAAGTGATGAATTCAGTTCCAGGCTGCATTAAAATGCTTTCAGAGGTTTAGGTTGTGCTCGTAACTTAAGACACTCCGCTAGCTTTGACGCGCTGGTATTTCCCCAAAGATAAACAGTATTCTTATACCTGAACTACTACTACTACTACTACTACAAATCTTATACCTCTACTACTACACGTCCATGACACCCCCACACCAAGGCGTCATCTAAACGCTGTTGCTGTATTACACCACTCGGTGGTGCTGTGTGCCCACACAGTGAACACGATGGGATTTTTCTCAGCTTGTGTGACAATATGTTCAATTAGTGAGTTGTTTCTAACATGACATCATTTTTCCTCTTCTTCCTCTTTGCTCTCAGCGGTACTGTCGACGGGGGAGATATGGGAGTTCCTGAGTTTTACCGAACGCCACCCGAGCATCATCTATAATATTCTTCTGTTCGGAGTGACCAGTGCTTCAGGCCAGGTGAGTGGACACCTGTATGAGGTGATGGGTAATGTTGTGTTGTTGGTATAAAAAAAATTCCATTCCTTAATGTTTCTTTTAACTCTCTTACCAGACCTTCATCTTCATGACGGTAGTGTACTTTGGGCCTCTGACCTGCTCCATCGTCACCACCACCAGGAAGTTCTTCACCATCCTCGGCTCCGTTATTCTGTTTGGCAACGTCATGACCACGATGCAGTGGTTCGGCACCATCCTCGTGTTCCTCGGTGAGACTAAATTCTGGTTAAACACTCTGTCGCCCTCTTTGGATTCATTGTAAATCTCTCACGTGCGACTGACTTCCCCCTTTTTATTTTCCTCATGAATGCAGTGTGTCACTGTAATATCTACGACGGCCTATAACGCTAGCAGATGCTTGAAAGAAGCCTTCAACCGTAGCCTGAGACGGTTACTGTGTGTGTTTGTTATAACAAACAATAAGGTCCAATTGGGGAATACTTAGGCTTCCCATGCAAACCATTTGGTTGAGTGGTAAATTATGCATTGAGAGTATAGCTGAAGGGGAGTCGGTAAATATAACAGAAATAGTATGAGAAGAAGCAGGAATGCTCAAATAGTTTAATGTTTTTATTGGTTAAATTGGTAGTTGAGAGTGTAAAATGATTTCTGTTTAGCTGCCGAGGCTGTGCTTTGCTTTGCTCCTTAGTCACTTCTTTGCTTTTTTCTCTCTTTAGGTCTCGGAGTTGATGCTAATTTTGGCAAAACCCCCAAGAAGACGACGCACTAAAACATCTGGAGCGCACAAGAGAAAGGCAAATGGAAACACTCTGTAACGAGTGTCTTATTTCCATAAGATGTCCTTTACAGGCACACTGTATGTGCCTATGAATTGTTCAAGTATGGTCAGATATTTAACTCAACTGTATTTAAAAGAGACTCCAGCTTCTGTTATATACTGTTGATGTATCGAAGAGACACCTGAAGGAACTATGACAAGCCATTAACATTTTTTTTTTTTTTTTTTTTTTTTTTTTTTTGGACCACACTTTTGTAGAGTATTTGGACAGGTTGAAAGACAAAGGGGGGACAATACTGTATTTAGAGAAATATTTTATGTTTCTGAAACCAGCTCACCTCCCTTGGATGGATATCGAAACTAAGTAAGGCTTGGTTTACAAAGTGTTGCTTGAATATGTGTAATCATCACATATATAGTTTATTTCTTGGCAAACAATCGGCCAAGTATCATTTCATTTATAAAATATAAATGGTTGTATGTAGCCTGTTGTGTTATGTCCAGTCTTACTATTGAATTGTTTTTACTCCTTATTTTCTACAAGGGGAAAATAACTTACCATTAAAGGGAAATTGTGATATTTCACGGTAACTTTCTTTTTATCACACAGACTTCACTTGATTGGTTCACATCAGAGCCGCTTGTTGGACAATGGCTATAAAATAGCCCAAAACACTCAGTCATGACCACCAGCAATTAATGTATCTCTTAGCCAACAAATTAAAAATTATGTTCACAACTTGTTTTACCACATATCACTTAAATTATGGGGGATAGTAACATTTACTCAAGTAATGCACTTAAGTACAATTTAAAGTAGTTTTACTTTCCATTCTCTGCTACTTTATACTTTACTCCCACTACATTTCAGAGGTAGATATTGTTCTTTTTACTCCGCTAGAGGATTCAGATGAATACAAACTCAAATGAACAAATACATTCTGATGTATGTATGTATGTATGTATGTGTATATA